GCAGTACTCGCGGCTCGCGACTAACTGAGGGCCCACGTCGCGCTACGTTCTCTCTACTCGCCCCTATCCACGCTCAGGCTCAGTATTGCCCCCTGTCGCCCTAGCGGCGTTACTACCCTTGCCTTGGCAACATGGACATCCCTGCACGATTATACCGTTACTGCCGGCACACTAAGGTCTCCGCCAGTTAGGAAAGCCCTGCTGGAGTTCCCTTTCTGGAATATGAGCCTGGCAGAAACAACTGGAACCAACCCCTCTCGGCAACCCTCTGGAGCACCTGTAAAACCCCCTATTCACCCTCCGATCAGCCCCTTTGTGACCAGCGAGACCTGACCCTCTGTGTAACCTGACAACCTGCACCCACGAACAATGCCCGAACCTCCTGGGTGCTGGTTCCTAATTTTGTTTTCTAACTTTGACTACTTTATTACCCTGTAGGTACGTATCTCGTGCGGGCGATGTTTATTAATTTGTTTCTTCGTTACTTGCTAAAGGTGGCAAGAGAAAGGATTCTCGGAATTTCTCTTTTCTTTTTAGTATTTTTTTTTCTCTTTAATTTATAAGGTTTCCTTGCACAGTGTTCTTATCGCAGGAATTTGACTAGGTGGCTTCTCGGTTCTCACTGCTAATGGGATGCTCGACGAGAAATAATACGATTTAAAATTTTACAGTATTTCCAAGAAATTTCGATACGAATACAAATATTTTTACTATTTTTCAAATTTGGATTATCTATAATACGTTTCGCGTCGTATATGATTATGGAGAATCTGCGATACCTGAATTTCAGCTTAAATTCACCCCTCGAATTTGTGATGGGATGAAAACTGAAAAAATAAAAAATTGATATCTCTCGTAATATTTTATTTATCGTATCTCAAAAGCCAGAACGTAATTCGCAGGCGAACTGGCATAAATCGTGAGGAAAGTCTCTCTCGAGTGTCGATTCTCTCTGAGTCATTGAAGAAAAAGTGACGTCAGCCTAAAAGCCAGTTTCAGAAAGGCTGTTGTCGTTCGCCGAAATCTCCACTTGGCCAATGTAGATATTGAAGCTAATGAGAAAAAAAAGTATATACCCATTCCTTTTTCTGTCAAAATTCACTAAACTGTATACGAACGTCACTTTACGTGCTATACATACAGGTATATGTATATACTATACCCCCAGTTCCTGCAATTTTGATCTATATTACCAAGGTACGCAAATACGGCCGCGTATTCACGACACTGCGAGCTGAAAACCTCGTAAAAGACAAGCCTCGCAGATATAAAACACGAGTGCACGCTTACGAGATAAAATTGAATTTTCATTTTCTTAACGTTCCAGGCCACTTTTTATATTCGAAACTTCCAATCGCCCATATACCCAATCAATAACGATACGTCCCACAAAAACTTTTTATGGATATCTATAATTTAAAAAATGACAGAATTAAATACACGATTTTCAATTAAAACTATATCTATATAGTATAACTCAAAAAATAAAAGCGTTCCCAGATCAGCAAATACAAGTTACGTCCGATACGACTTAATCTAAAATATGACAAACAATTTTTCTTCCCAGTGAAATTCTTTTTTTTCCCCCGATAAAAAATGATTATGGTTTTATCAAACTGACTGAAAGCCAAAGGATCTAGGCGTTAAAGGCTCAACGATTTTCAGCGGTATCCCTGGCAAACCAAAAAATCCTCGCTTAACCCCAGTTTGTCCCTAATGCTATTTCTTGCTGATCGCCATATATATATCGAATGGGCACACGTGTTAATACTATACGTATATCCTAGGTGAATATCCTGTGTATATATATATATATATATGCACTACTGAATTCACTTTACACATCGACCAGCACCTACGTGGATAGTCCTTCAATTTTGCCGGGAACACAGAGGACGGCGACCTAACTCATTGAAGTTGTCGTACAGATGAGTGAACCCAGAGCTGGTTTCTATGGATAGCCACGATCCGTGAACGTCAGGGATATTCAAGTAATTGAGTGTCTACGTACGTGCTAGTTTGTAATACTTTTGAAACAGTGTATATCCTACACGTAATATTGATTCGAACCTATCTGAAGCCTCAAGTGTGCCTAGTAAAATTCTTTGTTTCTACATAATACGTGCACGGAGTGACTTTATGGTAGATTGGGAAGCATAAATAAGAAGTCTTACGTGTACGCTTGTACGGGGGGATAGGGCGAGTAACTTTGTGAAAATTTTACTACGATTATAGTTGTAGGTAGAGGAAATGAAAAAATAAGGAATTTGGTCGATTTTACTGATCGGTGCTAATGACTTGTACATAGTTTTTATTATGGACGTGTACTATTTGTTTTATCGTATTAAAGTAGTACAGGGCTACTAGGGTTATTAGGCTGTGAATAGTCAGCCTTGAATTTTTATAACAGGTTTTCTCAAAACTACGCTTGGTTATCCAGAGTTTTTTTCTTGGCGTAGAGAAGAATTTATAATACCATTCGCAGCGGTACTTGGGGACTGTTTGCTTCACGTCAACGGCTTTCCAATAGATGTAATGCTCTGGACAATTTCAAACTGGAGTGCCCGGGCATCCTCAGACGAGTAACCTTATCTCTTGAACGTGATTCAGGATACGGATAAGTTCTTGTTTCTCCCGGTTCTCTAGACCCTGTCACTTCTGACCGATGCCTCCACGTTAAAACGCATTGCTTTTGAAATATCAAAACATTAGGTTCTAGCTTGTATAATGTATTCACTTGATTTTTGAATTCTCCATCGGTTCCAAAGAATTCTTTCAAAGAACGAATGATTGCGCGATAATTTGTGAAAATCCAAAAAAAATTTTTTTCACTCACCCTTCTTTTTGGATTACAAAGAAAAAATAAAATTTTTGAATTTTTGAAGAGGTTTATAAGCCACGTAGGCAGATAGAAATTTTGTTCGTTATTTATTATTAAGCTATTATTCATGTAATGGTAATTGACGATGGGGTCTAATGGGCTATTTGAAATTTTGTTCTGAGCTGTTAAATTATATAGGGGAAAATGTCGTATACCGTACGTGAGAAAACGGTGACTAAGGTGAGGTTGGAGTTGGTAGACAAGGAGTCACGCTGAGAGGGAATAAAATCCAATAAAGTCCATTGTCGATGAAATAGTATAGAAGGATCTCTGAAAATTTACTAAGGGCTCATCTTCCCTGGAATGTTTGGGCTTTGTCGAGTGATGAATTAAGATCGTAAAGGAGCGATGCACCGGGTGTCGGCGTTTTAGTCTACTGATGGATGGCTGCTACGATTTTCTACGTATTGAAAATTTCAAATGTAATCTTGTAATTTATAATTCTAATGGTAGCTACGGGAGCTGCTGTGTACACTGAAGTATATCCTACGTAAGTCCTTGGGTTAATCCGTGACCTTGAAATCCGGCTAGATAAGCCGTTTCTATTTTTCACATTCCCCCAAATCTCCCCTGAAACGGATCCGACCGTCGCTAAGATTATTGTAGTAAATTTAATGACGTCATAGATAATTAAAAAAAAAATCAAATACATACGTGCGATATTAAAATTGTGCATAGAATAATAATTATCGATGTCGAAAGTTTTTAAACGCCCATGCAAATTTTTTTTTGAAAAAGGAAAAAATTACGTAAATTCCAAGTTCAGCCTGGAAAACAATAATTAGAGTCCAGCAACGGTGTAACCGTACATTTTGCCAGTCAGCACCTTTGGCGCACCCCTGCATTAAAACTTTTTTTTTTTATTTATGAGGCTCGAAAGCACGAGAGAGAGAAAAAATGGGCCAAGGAAATAACGCAAGAAAGTAATTCCAATACGTGACATTAGTTATGCTACAAAATTTCTTTTAGCAAGTTGTTCGTCATTTCTCATTTACATAGTGTATCGTGCAAGGGAAACAAAATTTGCACAGCCTCGGATATCATTTGGACGATAAAAGATACCAGCTACACCGGCAATCCAATCGACCGAAATATTATTATCGTGTCTGATAGAGGGGTCAGAAATTTCGGAGAACAACGGAAGGGAACATGGGAAATTCTTCGTCTTGATAAGAAATTTGAATTTTCTTCGAGGGGCCACCCTAGCTGGGAATCCTATTGAGGGATCGATACCAGCGTTCAGTAGCTATTGCAAATGTTCATTACGCAAGAAATAACCGAGGGGAAACAAAAGCCAGGGAATTAACGTTGGCAAGAAATCAGAAATTGGACGTATCGTTACGAGCAATAAGTTAATACTCGTTTAGAAGTACAGATTTCAATGATATATAGCATCTACTAGATACTATCTAGTATACACGTTGGTACCAACTCATCACACTTTACGCAGCGAGGACGACACGTCCACGAGTGTGGCAAATTCTAGAAGGTAGGAGGATCGGTTGTGGTAATTTATTACCTATAGAATTATTCCATTTACTTCGTATGCTCATATCCATATGCATTTACATACATAAATACATATCTGAGATAACGCCCCTTTTATAACAAGCTGAATAATAATTCATAATAAACTGGAATTTTAATCCGAGCTTAAACGCATATCGATTTCAATTACATAGAAACCTGTCACTTACTTTTTCAAGTGATTCTCTTAAGATTACCCGTACAGCAATTCGATTCCGTTCGTCCATCCATATACATGCTCTAAGCACGTAATCCAGCGCCCGTAGTAGCGGTATAGGATTTTCTTATTTTCGTGAGATTCTTTTACTTTTGCATTGCCAGAGGGAGGATGGAATTACCCCACTGTATTAAGCGAAGACCTTCCAGGGATATGGCTCGTAGTAGGTTCAAATTGCTCTTAATCTAACGCTCTGGGGGAATCGCCCAAAGTGTGGATTCACAGCAGCAGACAGGCAAGACGCGAGATATAAAAACTTTACGAATTTATGACTACGTAAACAGAAGTACAAGACTTTGTATTCTTACTTTATCTACTCGGAGGATTCCCTTTGGACGTCCATCTTACTTTCATATATTTCGTCAGAAAGCAATCGTAACTGTACGTACTTGTTGTTGCTAGAGCGGGAGACAGATGGCGAAGGATAATGTGTACCATAGCTGAACCTTTTTCCCTCTCGAGCGCCATTAACTGCACTTCGAGCGGAACTATGTGGAAGCTTCATAGAAGAGCGTGCACTCAGTTGATATTTCTCATGTCGCAGTGAACATGTCACGGGGCAGTGAGTGGCCGTGTTGTAGCGTTGCATAAATATTCGACTGACTTTAGGTTAATGGTGAAACTTTATACGATGTTTATAATATATTGTACGTAGTATATGTATAATTTTATCTTCTTATAAGTGCCTAAAGTGTCGAGAAGAATACGAATTTAAGGCTAGTTCGTCAGGATATGAAAATAGTCATTCTTTGAAAACGGTTATTTAACATTAGTCACTGTATCAAAATAGTGCAGTGCGATGATCACGAGTGAGTAATACTTCCTGCTATGTTTCAAAAACTTTTAATATAACCAAAAATAGTGATGCAACGGTTTTTAGAATTACGTGGGGAATTTCCGTCTGGATTATTTCTGAACGCCTGTGCAATGGCAACACGGCATGCGGCGCCGCACGTGTTTACAGTATGTTCCTGGCGCTGACAATACCAACGTTAAAACCATTCATCCATCTTTTTGTAAGAGTCGTTAGTGGATATGAAATTTGCGATTTATTAACTGGACAATTCGTAACGGATCGCGCCCTCGAGAATTACTACGTTCAATAATTCAATCCACTCGTCACGCCTGACAAATTATTGTTCACGGTTATTTCCTTGAGGGGAGTTATATATACTGTATAGTCGGTAACATTGCCGAATATTGTACTCGATTTTATGGTCCGCTTTTTTTAACAATACTATGTGACGTCTTAACGATTTATTCGAAATGGAGACGCACGATTTTACGAAAATGTGACAAGCAATCTTTAACAATATTTTGTACGATATACTTTTCATAAGCTCAACATAAATGTTGAATACGGTTTAAATAAATAATTGAAAATTTCTACTCTTGCTTACACGTCTTTCAAAAGGCTCTTTCAGGTTGTTTTTCCGACATGCATACTAATTGGTTATTTATAAATTTACCAGTTGCGTACCTGGTAACGTACAATTAATTTGTGCATGCCAATTGCAGTAGCTAACAAATTGCCGTACCACTGACCACTCGATATCTCGTTAAGACAACACAACCGGTTACACGCGGAGTAACAGAGGCACGTACAATTTTGTTTATTCATTTTTATCTTGCTGCGTATTTCTCCTTTGTACGTATTTCGTGCAATTGGCCATAGGGCAAAGGCGTACAGGTGAACCCATTTGTTATATCAATGCAGGGGATACGCACTAAATTAAAAAGTGGATTAGCCTGACACCGAACCGAATACAGAGTTTGTATTTTTTTCTCAATTATTCTTTTATCTCGCTTCCATTTCGTACAACAGCATCATAACCGGACAAGATTGCTTTAGTAATGTGAAAAATCAATAAATCAGTTAATCTAATGACGTAACCCTTGGATTATACCGAAAATATGGAAATGTCTTTTTTTATTAAAAAATTCTTTATTGTCAAAAATATATTTATGAAATTTTTTAAAAAAACATTGTCTCGACGATATTAAGATTTGTACGTAATGAAAGAATTTTGGAGAATTTAATTCCTTCGATAAATCAGATTCGTAACTCGCGAGTGTATGAGCACGCTCGCTAATTAAATTTATAGGAGGGACCGGGCCATTATTGTTTCAACACAAAGTAGTAATTACAGTCGATAAATAATAAACTTTTCCGGCATCATAAAGCCCCGCAGCATTTACATCGATTATCACGGCGCACTTGTCATATCGCGGGCAAGTCGATAATTCCGTGTACAACAGGACAGAGAATTGTTCCAATAGCAATAGATTCAGAAGAATAAAATTTAGAAAAAAAAAAAAAAAAAAATTAAAGCTTGCATACCGATATCGCTCTGCTCGGGCAAGTCGATAATTCCGTGTACAACAGGACAGAGAATTGTTCCAATAGCAATAGATTCAGAAGAATAAAATTTAGAAAAAAAAAAAAAAAAAAATTAAAGCTTGCATACCGATATCGCTCTGCTAATAATAAAATCTCCAGTTTCCATCAACGACCAATCTTTGAGTAGCAGGTACACCTGTGACGTGTCGGTAAAGTCCAAACGGCCTACGTCAGTAAGGAAAGTGGAAAAAAGATAAATAAGAAAGACTCCACAAGAAACAGGGCTGCAAGTAGGAGACAAAAAAATTTTCAAAGAAGAAGGAAGCAAAGTAGCATAAAGTGAGTCACGAACGACGATATTTATATCGTCTTGAAGCCTTGAAATATGTCCGCAGCCGAAATATATATTCTCCAAGAGCTTTAACGTATCTTGTTACGATATGCATATTTAATACGACACGAAGTAGCGCGGCGTAGCCCGAAAAAAAGTCTAGTCTCAAAACAGCTGTCATTTGACCAGTATACCAAAAAAATTTGGTAAATTTTTTTTTTCAAATTCAAAAAACGTAATTCAGTACGGCATACGTGTCCGTTATAAGAAAGGAATTTTTGAAAAAATTTTTTTACCAGCAAACAATAATTAGCTATGCTAATTAAAGACGCTGCTTACGAGTATACCTATATAGTTAGCGCAAGTTCGTAAAGCACACGCGGAGCACCCTGGGTATTTACACTCGTACCATTGCACAATGCCAAAAGACACGAGACTCGTTGGCCATATTTCAAATAGCATTATTTTTTTTCTGTTCCCCGCACATCATGCAAAACGTATTAGCGACTGCTGGAGGTATAAGAGCATCTTTGACATACCTGGCTGCTCGCCAAACAGTTTCAAAAGGACTCGCACTAAATAACCTTGCGTTCGCCTTCTCGTTATGCATTCGTCCCGGTAGTACTAAAGGGGATAGAAGTCGTTCCTTTCCACGAAGGGCGGAAGCGTGCGGATCCATACCAGCGAGAGATGGAGATGGGATAAAAAGGGAAAAGGGAGAAAATAAACGAGAGAAAGCAAAGAGAGTCTGTATAGAGTGCTTCACGCGAATATGGGGCAGGACGGTAAACAGTCCGGAATAGGTGGAGAATCTGCAAGAGAAATACTTTGGAGGATAACAAGAAAGAGGGGGACCGACTGTACGGTTTTCTTGGCCTTTGATATATCGTACTGGGAGGATCGAAAGCCGTTCGTTCCAGAAGAGATATTCGTGGGGAAAAAAAAAAAAATACCAAAAATTCCTGAAAATAGATATTCTTTTTTTTGGCCTAAAGTATCAAATCATGTTTATGGAATGTTTTTTTCTATACACCCTTTTTGGGTTTTGTGTATTTGTACATGAGGAATTTATTATATTTTTTTTTCCAACCCTTGGATAACGGTCGGCCACTGCCCTTTGTATGAGGCTATATTTACTGTACATACGAATATCGACAGCTGTCGAGACGACTGGGTAGAAATTATATAATTTTTTGTCGATTCTGTCATCCAAAGAATTTCTATATTCATTGTTGATATATTCATATGCATATGTACGTGTTAAGGAAAATGTCTGTTGCGCAACTCAGGCATATTGGACCATTAGCCAATTGGTCCATTGGCAATGCTACCGTTGTCGTTCGACAAATTTACAGCAACTGCGAGAGTGCTACGAGTACAGTTGAGATAAAATTCACAAGATGGTTATATACTGGCCAATTGATCATTAGAGGGAGATGAAAATGGATTAGAAAATTACGAAAAGTAGAGATCGAAGATACCGAAGAAACTTATTGAAATTAATAAAAAAAATCGTTTAGTGCATCTTGGAAATTTGGACTTGGAGATTATTTCAAGAATTTTCATAACATTCGAATTGCGGTAAAATTTTTTTTTTCAAATTACGTCATTCAAACCCGCTTGTTTTATACATCTAAAAGAAATTCAGCCTACCCTGCGCTACTAACGGACTGGCAGAATGTATATTTGAATCGGAAGATTCTGTCTCGGTACCCGCAATTTGTGAGAGACTGTACGGAAGAGCGAGGGTGGTGTTCTAAAATATGAAAAATAGAGACCGTCGACGATTTTTCCCAGTTGCGCAATACAGGGATGAACCGAAGACAAATTCCTGCCTTAACGTCCATATCAGCTGGCAGCATTCGCAACGTTAAGGCTTGCGACAGCAGAGTCGTTAAGCGACACGAACCTGTCACTAATTCATTTTGGCGAAGAGCCCATTCATTGTCTTTGAGACTACAAATAGTGAACGGACGATATAGACAAATAGTCAAAGCCAATAAATCCTCAAATCCTCATACGAAATACAACGTATCGAAAAAGAAAGAATATTGGTCTTCCGTGACACGCGTTTACGTGTTTACAAGTTACAAACAATTTTCAAATTAACGAACGTCTTTCATTCGGTGCCATTAAAAATTGCCTCTATTTTTTACTTTTATTTTACACCAAGGTTACATACAGAGATTTTCAGTAGAAACGCATCACCTGAAGTTAGTCTTATGATAAAACCTCATTTGACTCACTCCCATGGTAAAACCATATTCAGGTGGTGCGTCTGGGCTGAACAACCTGGTATATAACTTTTTATTATTTTTTTCTTCTGAATTTCTTTTCCTACCGCTAACGAGTTTCCGCTTCCTCGACAGCGACAAACATGGCTGCTCGTTACGAATTCAAGAATCGTTCGTACACGTGGACTGGTAACGCTTCATAAGCAGTCGCGTGATAAATGCATCTGTTGTGCTCGAGGAGAATTAATAGTTCGCTTTAAATCAGCGACCGTGAGACAAAGAGACACGCATGATACTCAGAGGTTTAATAAGACAATCTGGACATAAATATCTAGTTGGACAATGGAAGAGTCGATTTGTTCGTAAGAGTTTATAAACCGTGGTACAAGGTTATTTGTATGTACAATTAATTCAACTCCTAGTTAATTCTACGAGTTCACACTTAGTTTTGAGTTCACGATAGAGAGTAAGTTTCTCAATTATCATGCAAACGTTGCGGATGTTGAGAATTTACTGGAAACGACGTTTAATGCTATGCAAATGAGTTAATATAACGTATCCACGTAGTTACTTAAGTATTATACATGACAAAGTACTCTTGAGATACCTGGATATCAGGGTAAGAATAACGAAATCTTGATATTCGTACGAATAGGAAAATAAAAACATTGGAATGGTCAGACAACGGTTTTCACTTGACTTAAAAATTCTCCAACTACGAGAGAGACAAGCAAGACGTATTCGAATTGATTTTCTTCTCCGATAACCTAAAGCCCCTTTCATGCTTCGCGTGGAATATACATAGGAAGACAAGGACACCGAGTCATAGTCACTTACAACAAGGCAAGCAAGGTAAATATTTGCAGACGAAGTGGCAGGAATAATTATATTCGAAAAACAATGATTTTTGGAAATTAATAATAATTTAATCCGAAGGTGTCTCTTACCTTGAACAACAGAGTCCTTCTTCTTGCGTCGACGTCTCTTTCGCTGTACTTGCTCGATGCAGTTCGAAGAAGACGTATCCTCGTACCCCGGAGGAACCGAGCCTTCGGCGAGTATCTTGGCGTCTTCCTGTCGCTTTTTCAGAAGCTCGTAAACTCGCCTGAAGTAATCCCTTGCGATGTCCTCGTTCGATTGAGGCGTCAGTGCTTTTTCATTTTTCGAATCTTTTTCGCGCGCGTGAAAAGCGGATTTACCGAGAGGATTCAAATTTTCGGTATCCCATTGTGGGTTGTTTTTAAAATTAACTGGAGGAATTTGGCAATCCTTGATATCCTCACTGCCGTCCACTATCTTGAAAGTGTCGCTCTTCTTCACCGTGGAATTGGCATAGAGTTCCTTGTAATCCTTGAGACCATTCTTCGTTATGGAATTGTAGCCGAAATCGGGTGAGTTTAATTTCGAGCCGTCGTCCTCGAAATTCTTCGTGCTGACTCGAAGCTTCGATATCGTCGCTGCCTTCGCGGCTGACTTTATTGGCTCTAGAAGTAAATAATTTTCTTGCAGCGTGCTCGCCGGTCTCTCGAGATCCGTCGTGCCGTCTGTGACGTCAGAATCCTTCACGGAAATTACGTCAGCTCTCTCGTCGATATTACAAAATTCAGTGTTATCTTTTACCGAGTCTTTTCCTCTACCTTGATCCATGCTTGCCTCTGCGTCCTTGTCCCGTTCCTTTGCGAGGGCACTGGTACAGAATTTAAAATTTTGACAAACACGACAATTCTTCAGGCAGCACGAACCAGTTTGAAAATCCTTCCACCTCGGTCTGCTCATGAAATCTTCCTCGGGCACGCCGTTTCCAGATTCCCTGTGAAGTCTCTCGTGTCTCTTTCGTTCCTTGTATTCCCGCCAGGAGCGCTCCATGCTGTCAGTGCTATTTTTTCGTCCGAGAGAATTTTGAAAATCCTTTTCGGAATCAACGCTGTCCGCCATTCGACTAAGGAGAACGTCGCTCTTCGTTTTACGGTACACCTTGCGCTTATCCGATCCCGAGGAATTTCGCTTTTTAACTTTTTCACTATCGGCAATTTCCAAATTCTCCAAAACCACGTCGCTTCGGCTCCTCACGTAATCTCTCGGTCGCCTCTCCGATCGGGCGCTCGAGTTTCTCTTGCTCGATTTCAGTCTTTCCCTTTCGTACACCTCCGGATCGAATCTGATGTTCACGTCGCTGCGCACTTTGCGCGTACGATAATTCTTACGGTCGTTCTCCAAGTACTCGGAGTGTCGCTTTCGAACGTCCTGCGATTTTTCACGATTCGTATCTGCGAAGACGGAGGGCTGAGACGAGCTGGATTGCAATTTTTCCTGTACCATTTTCGCCTTTATCTTATCCTGCAGATATCCCTTTATCCTCTGGAGTTCCTCTCGTTTGAATTTAGATTCCGACTTCTCCTCGCCTTTTCTTCTCGATATCAGATAATCCTTCAATTCCCGCAACTTTTCATCCCGACCGCTGCGCTCCGGGTTATCTCTTTGACTATTCAGATACGCCTGGACCTTCTTGCACCTGTCCTCTGCTATTTCCTCGGCAGTCTTACCAACGTTACTGCTGCTCTGCAGATCATCCAGAATTTGCTGTCTGAGATAATCGCCTGCGGAATATCTCTTTATCACCTTACTCGTCTTATCGTTCTCAGCCTCCATCTTCCTCAGGGACGCCTCGACGCCCGTGGAGTGTCTCTTCTTAATTTTTCGGCCTTTACTCTCAGCGAAACTAACATTGGCGTCGCTACGAGACTTTCGCGGTTTACAAGCAAATTCCGAAGCTCCATACTTCGAGCTGAATCCGTCGATATTCCTGTTTTTCGACGTGGCCTCGGGGACTTCGGGTTCTGGGCTATCTTTGGGTTCCGCCATTTTCTCGTGAGACTTTACACCGTCCTTGAACGAACCCCTGGCTCTCTGTGCCGTCCTGCCGGTAGTCTCCACCAGGAGGCGGCCATCCTTGTCCAGCAATTGCACAAGCGGCAGCTTGTCGGCGGAAGTGGTGAGCTCCCAGGCCCAATGAAGGGGTTTGTCCAGCCGCAATCTGATTACAGGCTCCGGGGACGTTTCCGTGCTCGAGGATGGACCAACAGGACTTGCTGTTCTCGCCACGATTACCGGATGTACGTTTTTCATCTTGTTATTGCCAATGTCAATGGTCTCCACTGTTTGTTTATCGTCACGAGATTCGACTACACAGTCTACGGACGGAGCTAAAAAAAGTCAAAGAAATTGGATTCCTCTTAAATTTCTTTCGACTTACGTAAGATTTGCCGCGGCACTACGTAACTAACCTTTCTCTATTTTTCTTGAAGGTCCCAGGGGAATACCTTTTGCTTCGTTAATTTGTTCGATCCTCACACGCACTTCTGGACTCTTTGCAAATGTCACATATTGTTTGCTCGTTACAGAGCCTTAACGCGATTCCATTCACTAGCTCCTCTTTATTGAACGTTACGCAGCCTTGTATAAACTTGACGACGCGATGGTAAACTTGGCAACTTTTCAACGATCACCCTCGCGCCACAGCGTCCACCACCGGCACTGATAGTTTTACGAACGTTCTGGCTATGCCGAATTCCTCAAGTTGCTTTTTATGTCTTTACGTTATTCGTTCCTCCAGTGGGGAATTTTGTTTTCCCCTAGCTCAATTTTCACCCCAGTTTGCCACGTCACATCTTCGTTGGCTGTTGATTGTCGTAAATAGGAAATGACGTAAGATTATAGGTATGACAATGAAAAAAAAAAAAAAAAGTAATAAAATACTTGGCACATCCAGCAACGAATGACTCAGCGACAAAGTGAATAGTTGACAATAATAATTGGAAAAACAAAAATATAGTCTTTTTAAATAATAATCGAATACCCGCTTGTCAAAGTGCATCGTGAGAATCGGACAATAAAACTAAATCATCGTTCGATTAAAAGTCTCGAAAGGATCGATCTGTCCTGTTAAAATTTCCCAAAAAGTCCAATTACTCTTTTACAACGTTATATTTAATTATCCGTAAACAGCTGCTACGATGGCATATCTACAACTCGTATAAAAGAAAAGCCTTTTATTTATCTAGCCTAAAGATTTCGTCTGCAAAAAAAGAAAATTCATGTCGGATCACTGTGGCAGCCTATTTTGTTCATCAGAAAAACGATGAAAATCCCTCTGAAGGTAATATCGGTTAGTTAAAAGGAATAAGCAATGTATCCGTAGAGTAGAAATCCTAATCGTGGACAAGCTAAAAGATACTTTGGCCTGTAAAGAAAGGTGGAAGAGAAAAAGGTTCTTACACGAATTTGAAGACGACACAGGCCAGCGTAAATCCACGCACTGCACAAAGAGCCACTAAATTCCCGTAAACTCGCACGACGCGTCTCGATTTAATCTTCTCGCTTTTCGAATCGTTTGTTCAGATCCGTCGATCGTTTCTCGTATTCCGCCATGTGACTGACTTTCGTCTTACAGCTGCGAGTTGGCTGACGACGTGTTGCAACTGTGGAGGCACAGGAGGCGTTGCCGTACTCGCGATGACGTCACCTCAGTCCGAAAATAAATCCCGCGGGATTCGCAGGACGGGTGCACGGGAATGCCAACACGTGGGATGTGTCACGAAGATCGGCCGTTTGTCCTACATTTAATGAAATGCTTGAAAATCTGGTATATCCTACCAGCACGCACTGTACATAAATTTATACCTAACCGCGTCAGGGCATTGACTGTGGCTTTCGAATTGGCTGTTTTGAATACACGTAGGAATACGACGCAAGACTGTACAATCGGGATCACTGTTTAACTGCCTTTTCTGCTAACTGCCTATCACTGCCTTTTGCGTTCGAATCCGATGAACGCCGACCTTTACGTCGGGAGGGCCGGAGTTATTGTATAGGGAAAAATATCAGCCTACGGTTTGTGACGGTGAATGTGCCTGAGGATTTTTTAAAACAAAGCAGAGCTCTCTTGGTGGTTCGTCAATATTTGAATAGCTAAGAGTGCTCGTGTTGATTTTACGTACAACGTAAGTATATTTACTGAAGCGAGTGAAAATTATTTTTCAACCTATTACAAAGTTCGGATTTATTTAGCAACGGAATGAGATAGCGAATTGGAAGAAAAGGCTTTTTGCTGTTTTCTCGAAACGTGGATCTCTCCGGCTCTCGCTTTGATAAACGAGTGATAAAACAGAATAGCGGCAATCTAATCCATGGTAACTTTTGCTTTTATACTTTTTAGTAAACTGTGAGAAAATAAACGTAATCGTAATAACAAAACGAGCAAGAGACTTTGTAAGGTCGTATGTACGCCATGGCTATATACCTATGAGAATGGCGTCTACTTTTCAATTTCATGTTACGATTACGATCCGACCACCCGTAGGTAGGGTGTCGCTTATTTTTATGACTCGCCCCGTATCTAGCCTTGGACATAACACAAACATAAATGTTCAGCCGGCTGGCCTGCATTCGCTGTGGCTCGTACAGTCTAGTTTACGTTTCGTTTTATTTTCGTCGTAGCAACGGGCAAAGAAATCCCACGACACGTATTATTAGTCTCTTGCCGAAGCATCTCGTGAGGTCAGGCTATGTTTAGATAAAGGTAAAGTTCATTAAATGCCATTAACCGACGGCACGTAAGCGTCCTGGCCTGTGCGTCGTTGACTAACAATAAGTCCAGCTGCCGCAGGAGACTGGGATGCCTTGATAATTGACCGATTGGCACTTCTAGTAAATTGCAGCTCGCCATTATGCATCGGGCAATTGAGCCACTCTTGTAGCAATTCGTTCTTTTCACCAGTTCAATTGGTATCGGTCGTACGGACTCGTTTTGCCCTGTCAACACCACGAGAACCAATTGGACCATTCATCGACTTTAATCTCGCTGATATCATGAATCATCGTTATCGTATAAACGGATGCCGAACGGATTTCTAGAGTGAGATAAATCATCGCATTTCGTTATCCAATGCGAATAAAAGTTACGAAATGCTCTCGGCGTTCTGTAGAGATATGCTTACCATGGATATATATATATATTGTAACGTATCCTTTTTCTTCATTCGACACCGATGCGAAAAATCCAAGAACGATTTTCTGAGCAGGCTGGCAACTCGAAGGGAACCAAAAATCGAGAACGTTATCTGTATCGGTAGCCGGATTCGCTTTGTGAGCGTGAATCGAAAAATGACGTCACAATATATATATACATATATATTGCATTTTCGACATTTGGACGGCGGGAGGATTTGAAAGCACGTGTACCGCTTAATAGGTAAATACGTAAACAGGACTATATACGCAGGAAGCCATTTAGAGTATTTTCTCTATACATTGCTGTAGTAATGAAAGAGAGAAAGAAATTTCACAAGAGAGAATTAATGTTATACGACAGTCTACGTGGAAAACAACAGTCACCCTCTTTTCAATTAATTACATCACTCCACCCTTTCCGGGCATCGGCGTAGGCGCTCGTAAAATTTCAAATATCACCAAAAACTTTGTCGAATTTTTCGCACTCTACGCATCACCGATAACAATACATTAACGAAGTCTGTAAAGAAATATTAAAATCGCATAACAAATGTAACCGATATCTTTTATATAGGATTGTATACGATATATTTCATTTGAGTGTAACTCTCGTCTCTTTGGGGATGATACTTGCTTTTCCATTATCGCAGAATCTATTCTTATCTTGTACCGAACTTCCACTTTCAGTGCCTTTTCTCACCGGGATGATACACTCGACGAGAAAAGTTTTCAGTAACTCGAGAATCGGCCAACTCGAGAAGCTCCAGTCATTGGCCAAGCTCCGCGTACGCGGGAGCGAGAGACGGCGTGGGATGGTTGAATAAAAGAATGAAGGAAAAACTGGAGGAAGATAGAAAATGAGAAAGGTGAGGTAAAAATAGAAAAAGAAAGATTTTACTTATATAACGGTTAGCAAATGTCACCTGACGCGCTCGATAGCAGTCGAAGACGCTATAGGGTCGTGAACGTGAAAGAACTTTTTGATCCGATTTCCGGACGACGTTCACACCTTCGTATACTCAGTTTTATAAACTTTTCTTATTATATCCATTTCGACTTCACTGATAAACCGAAAGACACCGAGTGGAACGCCGGGTTATATTGGGAACGTGTGTATTGATCGAGAGACATTCTTCTATGCAGCATAGAAAATAATAATTTATTTAGCAGTCAGCAGAATTATAAACGTACAGCAGATTTTGGGAGGGGCATGGTTTCGAAATTGTTTGACAAAAAAATTTATTCATTGACCAATGACTCTAATTCTAAACGCGAAGCTTAATCCTTTAGTCACAATTCTACAATTTTTTTTTTTTGTAGAATCTTATTTCATTCATGACAAACGTAAAGCACAGTAAAATTGCACGCTCTTACAAACCTAAAACTTATTTTGCAATTCGCCAAAATTTATTTCTAATCACTGGGTTCTTGCCGATTGGTCGCTCGACGATATAAATTCATCTGATACGGTGCACCGTTCAATATTACCGCACGTGATAACAGTATCAACAAAATGATACACTGGTGCTGAATTTTTCTAAAACTTTCTGACTTCTCACAAGAACCGTAAATAAACGGCAAGCTCCGCTTATATCATCTTGAAAATTCTCCAAAGTTTTTCATGATAAATGTTCTGGGTCTTTCTGATCGATTTTTGTTTCTTTCCTTTTATTCTATAATTTTTTTCCCCTCGCTACTCGTCCCATTCCGTTCGCCAGTACGAAACTTTGGGATATTGTCTCTCTCAAAGCAATTCCTCCAGTTGACAGATATCTGGACCTCATCTCTACGGCAACTCGAGGTTGAACGTAACGTGTTCGGTACGCGAGAAATGTAAATGAAAATAAAATGAGATTAATTCGGCTCATCAATTCAATCGATATACATATGTCAAAGTGTATACTATTATTATATGTGTATATATATATATATCGTCACGAAATCGTTACGCCTTTCAAATAAACCTATCTAAAAATAACATTATAAAATGTTGCATAATCAACGAGGAATCGTATTGCGTTATCTACGCTTAAGGCGTAGGCAGGTAATAATACATTTATCTTATACATTATTTAATACGCCTTATACGGGTGAGCGTCTGCGCAGGCGCAGTACGCGATAGAGAAAAGTAAAATTTGCCTGCGTGTCATTTATGTAAAAACTAAGAGAGACTTACAACGATACAACAAACGATAAAGTTATGCTTACGGGTGTTTCTAATGTTTTCTCAATTGCACGTGTCGAGGTTCATTATAATCGCGTACATTGCGTATCTTGCGGCGGGGTGGTTGCTACTTATGATAATAACAGGAGCGTATCAAGGTTGCTCATTGCTAATCTACAAAGAACTTCCAGCCTAGCTTTTTCTTACTTACAATTACAACGTTACTTCGCTAACGATCGATTACGAGAGCATTTTTGTTTTCACTCTTATTCTTTGCTTATATTTTTTTGCCATTTTTTTCTTTGCTTTTTATACAATTCAACGAAAGCTCGAGGTGCTTCTTCTCGAGAGTTAAGCGCTAACGAAAAAGGGTTTGCCGAGGAACGACCAAGAAGTTAAAATTCTTAAGAGGAAAGAGAAAACGAAAGGAACGTTTTACCAATAATATAAAAAGTGTGAATCTTCACTGAGCGATACGAGCGAAGAATAATTTATTCTATGGTGGAATAAAAAGTAGGCTTTACAGAGATTCAAAGGAATCAATTTTTTTTTTCTTTTTTTTTTTTTTTTTTTGAAAATCAAATTATCAATTTTCGCTCGTCTTGCCGCGTGATGGAGTCGACGGGCTCCGAGTATCCTTAGAATCTATATTTTAAGTCACGTTCACATCAAGCTTATTGAAAATAGTAACAACGCACACAGACTCGACTTCGCTATCGTGCGATCTACACGTGTGAATAGAGAATTTGGAAAAAAAAAAGAAAAACTCAAATTCCTTCCAAATGTTTGGCGAATCTAACATTCTGAAAATCAGCATTTCACCAAAGAGTGCATCTCTGACAGACGACAGAGAAACAAGAGTAAGAACAAGAGAAAACGAAGGGTCTACACTCAGTGCCTACACTGTGCAGTAAAAAACATGGGTCTGGCTCAGGTGATTTGTAGATTTGGGTACCAAGCGAGGAATACCTGATGTCCTTGTATCATCCTCCGCTTTCGTTCCCGAGGATTTCTAAAAAAGAAATAAAAAAAATAATTGCATTAGAATCCTGATTAGTTTCACGTATACCAGGACAGACAGTGTACCCAATCAAGCAGCACGAGTCAGGGGTAAACTTGACCTGCAGTGATTCACCGTCGGCTGGTTATCAATTTATCGACACGACCTACCTCAATCCGAAGCGAGTTGCCATCCACAGGATGAGACGTCAATCGATCGGTCTCCTCCTCAAGTTCAGCTCTTGACCCGAACAGCTCTCCTTGTACGGCAATGCTACCAGCTCCACGAGGATCCGTCCGAACTGGCTCCTTCATCATCGTCCTTTCGCTTCTCATCCACTCAACTTTATTAGGGTCCTCCAGGACCTCGTCGTAATGATAACTACTCAATTGGATCACTGTACACCCACTGTCAAACTGAACTGTCTTCTTACACTCCGATTTCAAAGGATCAGCCATCTTGAAACAGGAACCCTTACCGATAGCATTGCCAGCCGATCTGTGCAAGTCGCTGTTACTCTTCAAGCTCAACGTATTGGCATCCCTCCGTACGATCTTTCTGGTAATGACAGTGTACCTTATGTCATTGTCAATCTCCTTGACAGTCACTGTGTCGCCAGCACTTTGATTATTACAATTCTTATCGCGATCCTCAGAAACTGTCACTTCGTTATACCGAGCCTTGTCTTCTACAATTTTCTTCCTTTCAATTGTACTCTGGTCGCAATCTTCATTCTTCATCATCTTCTCCATTTGCTTTCTGTACGTCGTGACTGGTCTAGCTACTGGTTCACTATCGTTACTTTTAGAATGTTTACTGGTCTCTCGCTGAATCTCGTAATACTTAACGAAGCTCCTAACGCTACCTGGGGCTATCGATACGTCACGGAATTGGTCGGAACTTACAGCTACGGGTGTCATGGCGTTATTGTCAGTATTATTACATTGGGTTAAAGGAGCTTTCCTAGCTATGGCACACTCGTCAATCCTATCGATCGTTTCTATATCTACCGTGCTCACGGCAACTTCCGGTCCTTTGGCACGTGCACTACTGTTCACGGATTTATCAATAAGTTCATCAGTCTCTTCGCTACTGGCAGCATCGCCATCTTCAGATTTATCGCGGGACCTCGCATCCACGATTGGCTCCCCGACTACCTTAAATTTAACAACGTTCGACTCTATATTATTACTATCTACACCTGGGTCCTTTGTATCCTTCGGAGTGGAGTCGCTCCCAATTGTTAAGCCTTTCGCTTTATTATGAACTATGCCGACGCTTGATTTAGCTTCGTTATCACCTATGGATTTTAATTTAATCGCACTAAAATTACATAACAGCTCGCTGAGGACGTCGCTCTTAACCTCGCAGCTACTCTTCTTTCTTTCTTCATTATTTTTTGCTTCGGGACACTTATCCTCCTTCTTCACCTTTTCCAATCCTGGCTTTCTCCTCGGATCGTTTGATATTACTTGTGACGTCATCGTCGTCGTGGATTTTACTTCCTTAGGAGTCTCGGTGGTTAAGGATGTTCTGGGTGGAATCTTTGGATGGGTCGCTATTATTTTACAGGATGCCTGTAAAGTGTCATCCTTTAACATATCCTCGAGGAAGGAATTTCGTCGTATGCTTACTGGTATTATTTTCTCGTTTGTGGGTTTTTCCGTTTTTACAGTTTCATTTGTAATTTCGTTATTCGTCGTGGAAAGGCACTCTACCTTGTGTATATTTTTAGGACCTTCTGGTCGTGATGATTTTTCCATGTTTTTATTATAATCTTCTTTGGGATGAATTTCCTGGTGTGATGAAAATTCAATTTTCCCTGATTTCACGTCAATTTCCTCATCGTCAGATGAATCCCTCCATTCCATGTGTTCCTCGTTATTTATAAGATCGTGAAGTGACTCGTCTATATAGATCTTTCGCTTCTCGACCAATTTTACTGGGGGTGTATTATTTTTTATCAATGAAAGATTATCCTTAATACGGATCTGTATTTCCTTCGATTCTCCCTGAGGAACATCAGATACAGCGACTCTCTCTTTTTCTGTTACGACGCCACGCTCTTTTAGAATATTTTGATTATCCTGCCAAAAATACTCAGGTTCCTGAAAATTTACGTGGAATACAGATTTTCCATTTTCAATATGATCCTTTTGGGGCAAATTTTTTATATTAAGCTTCTTCATCGATATATCGTCTCTCACGTCATCACGAGCAGTGTCACTCACATGATCTTCGTTAATACTTGGAAATATATTTTGGTTAGTTTCAACGATTTGTTCGCTGGTATCATTTGGTAGAGTCTCTATACAGGCGGTTACAGTAAAAACACGGTGCATGCTTTCAGGCGATTCTGGAGTCTCATTGAAACGTGAAACCTCACAGTTTAAATTTCTATCATTGTTTACGGCCAATAAATCGTTATTCACATCAGCGCCACTTGTACTAAGTAATGACGAGAATGGAATTTCACCGAATTCATCGGCTCTTGGAAACTCGACTGTCCCGTTAAAATTATTTTCTTCAATCCCAATCAGCTTGTCCGCATTCTCAGTCGATGTCACAGCCTCATCCTTATTTCCAAAATCATCAGCAAGTATAGAATCAATATTTAACAAACTGCCGTCCGTGACTCTTTCCTCCTCGTTCATTTCCTCATCCGGCGTCGAAGTACTCGGAGAATCCACGACGAATCTGACCCTGGTAGCTGAACGATCAGTAGACGCAAACTCCAAATCATTATTTTCGAAAGTGTCATCGGCGAAGAGAAATGATTCAGGTTGCTGGATACGTCCCGTTCTCTTGGTCCTATCTATGTAATCCTCAAATACGAAATGATTCAAGTTCTGAACATCCGCATCAAAATTCTTATTTTCAAAATTTCCACTATCCCATCTGCCAAGGCACTTCTCGAAGGGGAAATTAGTAGTAGTTATACGAAAGCAAACCTCCTCCTGATTATCACCATCCAAAGAGTGTCCGAAGAACGTGACCTCTGACCTCTCTTGTGAATTATCACCAATGATTTTATCATTGACACTTTCCTGACAGTCGGCCATGACATTTTCAAAATCTTGCAGGGTGAAAAAGAGCGACGGATACTTGTCCGTTTTTTTATTGCTCAAACATCGTGGCTGCCCTCGAGGAACTTCCGGTTCCTTTATGTAACTATCCCTCGTGATCTCAAGAGAGTCGGTAGAGTCTTGCGTCGAGTACGGGTCATCTTGATCTTTTGTAGGGTCTGAATTGGATACATCGACGGAAAGATACTTCGCTGTTTCATAATCGTGGGAATTTTTACAAGTAGCAGCATCCGCACAGCCAGTCGGCACGATGTCAGTTTCCGGTTTATCGGACGTAGTTGAATGTGAACGACGATTGGTAACGAAGGGCGTTTTCCTGCCATGAGAATTTGCCGTTGGCGGCGGTGGTGGAGGTGGAGGTGGTAAACGTAATTTGTGCACAGACTTCCCAGACGATTCCGGAGCCGGTATACCTTTTGACGACGACGTCTTTAGTACAAGTTCATTTCTACGCTTCCGTCGTCGAGGCGGAACTGGTGGCGGAGTCGAAAGTCCTTCTGCAACAGACCAATTGAAAAGAGAGACGTCAGATAATTCACTAGGACGAAATTCAACTTGCAGGATGACTTACTTTTATTTATGACACTCATAATGATCACGGAATTGCGTGCGGTTTATAAATTAAAATAAAAGGAGAAAGTCACGATTTCTTTATTGAGCAGTGAAAGTGCGTCGTGTCGTCGTAGTTGCAGAGCGCTGGAGGGTTCGTGATGCACTGAAGGTGATTCCTTAGAAATGACAGCCAATCCCCTACCCGACCTCGTCAGACGGTCAATAATAATGATTTACGAACCTCGACGTGTGTATGCTGATGATTCTCATGAAAAAGTTGCAAGCCTTGAGAAAATTTATAAGGATGATTTTTAATATCATGAAATTCAGTGACACGTGGTAAAAGGTATACGTAGGTGTACATACGTGTTAACAGATATTCGAGTAGTCATTTTTAATATGAAGATAAATAAAAAATCGTATAAGAATAACAGTTGCAATTAGTTTGACCTTCTTTAATGGAATATTCGAACGATTTCATTTTACTTACCAGATTTAATAATTTTCATTGATGGGAAATAGTGGCAATGCATAGTCATTACGAAGCCCGGAGCAGTGCTTCGCTTAAACGGATAAAACCAATTTGATAAGCGTTTCGAAGTGTACTTCGAGGGAAAAGGAAGAGTACAGGAAGTTTCAGAGAGGGATGACCCTAGACTATGGCATGCCGTAATGGGCGTAATGGAATTTTCTACGAGATTGTACAGTATGGTACGTGTCCTGGCGACGATCGCGTTTGAAGAGTCTAAGAGAAAAAGGAATTTAATATTGAGGCCTTTAACTGATGCTCGATAAAACGAAGGGGTAGAACGAAACATCGACTTTCCGGGTAATCACTTTTTCCTTGAAATTGCCAGCAATTTTTTACCCGTTTAACTCCTCGCAGTTTTGGATAACATTGAATCGTAGGTTTTCGCACGATAAAATGACACTTACTGTATTAGATGAAAACTTGACGACTGGTTCGGCTCATCTCGAAGTCATCGATGCTGAGTAGCATGCTAGCAGAATTATAATCATTCGTATTAGCTACGTCAGTAAGGTATAAACTATTTGGATTATGATTTCCCATCGCGCTGGATGGAGCACTGCTATAGGCGCTTGAAGTATTTTGCACGGATGAGACATCCGGAGTCTTGTGCGTCAACCATTTGCTAGTCAAACTGGAAGTTTCAACCTCGGAGAAGACGTCGAATCTAATATTTCTGAAATAAAGCAGACGTTATCATTGTAGTAGATCCTGCTAGGGTTTTTCACAGATTTACCTCTTTGATAAATTGTCAAAAAAAAAATACTTACTGCATATAATTATTCTCTACTGCGTCCGGTTCACGATTTGGTCGAGGACCTAAATTTGGCGAGGTCGTAACCTGTGACAACACTAACTCAACAGTTTCCGATGAACTCTGCAGCATCTTCAAAGCTTCCTCATATCCAAGGTTCAATAAGCTTTGTCCGTTTATAGCCACTATCCTATCACCTGTAAGATAAAGAGAATTCTGTATTAAGCTAGCAGTTGAAACAATAAAAGACAAGATGCATCACAATCGTAATGGAATATTGATTATCTTTAAAAAGTCTACCATCAGCCAGTCTACCTTTATTAACATTTCCAGCCATATCAGCAGATCCTCCAACAGAGACAGCCTGAACGTAAACCCCACCATCGTTACCCTCAGTCACTTGGAGTCCTATGCTACCGCCATGACCTCGTTCCAGCTTTATAGTATGAAGAATCCGTTCCTCAGCAAAAGAAAGCTCTTCCAACCTCGCCGCCAGAGACGCAGACATGCTCTCGTCTTCAGGAACTCGAAAAGTCTCATCGTTCGTCCTGATGTCAGCATCTAAAAAGGAGGAAATCCGAAGAACGTTATCCCGAAGACTTCTATGGTAAATTTACGGGTAACGTGGAACTTTACTCACTGAGCACATATGCCTCCGGCATTGGAGACTCTGTCGATTGTGCCGAAGCAGACTGGATCGATGAGGCCGTGTCTGACTTCAAGGATAACGACTCCAGCTCGTCGGCAAGGGCGAGATCCCTTTGAACGAGGCTGCTGTATATCACCCTGGTACCCATTTTCACACCGAGACGACGTGGCAAACTAGGAGTGCGGAATCCGCTCATCTGTTTCGGGGTACCATAATTCGGTAGGCTGGATGTCTTAACCTGAAACGTTTAAACGCGTGATAATTATTTGAAAAATTCATGAGCGCTGCGTCCTAACTTTCGATTTACCTTGTGCAGAGTCTTCTTCATGTCCGGCACATCCCATACCTCTTCCGGTACCGGAAATTCCGTTTTCTTAGGAAGACCACTCTTGTTGATGGCCGCATAAAGCTCCTCGGGTTTATCTGACTTTTGACTCTGCTCCTTATTCAGATTAGTCGAGGATGCTGTGTGAGGTAGCGAATAGATGCAGCCATTCTCACTGGGATGCCTGAGATTTGGATAACTGTATAATTTGTTGTCCTGCATCGATTTAGCCTGCTCGACATTTTCAGGATTAGCTTCGTTCCGTCCCACGTGACCTCTGTCAGATTCATCTTCCGTGTCACGAGATTCTCCTTCAGGCTCCAAGCGTGTGTGCACTTGTGCATAGAGTGCATCCTCTTCGGGAGTGTAACAGATCGGCTCGGAACCTTCTGCTTTACTGTGAGGTGGTGGATGCGTTTCCTTTTGAGGATTTTCATTTTCCTTGTTTTGGTATTCCTCCAGTTGCATTGGATACTTCAGGTTCTTTTGCTTCTTTACTGTGCTGGCGATCGATATTTTGGTCTTACCACTGTCAGGCTTTACTTTTGGTGGCGGTGAATTCGGTTCTATTATCAATGGCACACCAAAGTCTAGAATTTTAAGCGAAAAATTATGAAATCACAGTGCAAAACTTCGTTTCCTATCTCATACTAAATTTTCCCTGAAATCCTACATCAGCGAAAGGTGTCGGAACATACCTGTTGCAAGTCCCTGAAGAGAAGTAAGTTCTGAACGCAATTTCAAGTAAAATTGATGATGCAAAGAGGTGAGCTTGAAGGCGAAGTAACTCCTGAGGTGAAACAGAAAATAAGATTACTTTAGTTATCCATAAATAACAGAACGCATGACGCGGAGAGAGAACTGGATTCAGGGTCTATCAGACATACGACGAAAAGCTTTAAATATAAAGCAACGACTAACTCACTTTCTATGGTCCATTCTGAGCTTAAACTTGCATCTCTTCCCATTTACTCGACTGTGCACGACCAAGCAGCTTTTGCTGTAGCTCAGAGTCTGTATATCGCGCCATTGAAATCTTATCAGTTCCGTTCTCTCGCGCGGTCTGCCGCCCCTGCCAAAGATCTTGAGCCCCTGGGCGTGTACGGCGAGCCAGACGTTGCTCTCTGACTTCTTAGATTTTCCAACTTTATTGTTGTTGGCTTCCATCCTGGGCATCTTCACCGGTTTCTTCGGTACGGCGTAAATATCCTCATTGAGACTGGCGCTCTTAGAGAGTCGCATCTTCTGCTCGTCCCTGTAGAAGATCCTACGTATATCCTCGCTCGAGCCGACCCTTGGGAACTCAATCTTTCCGTAAACGGGATACTCCGAGGATCCGTCAAGTTCGTAAAGATTTTCATTCTCGCTATAGATTCTTTCCGCTTTTGTAATTTCCACGTTCTTCTTCAGCCTGGTGAGGATCTTCTCAAGTTCCTTAGAGTCGACGGTGGCAATGTAATAGTGTGCCCCGTAGTCCGGAAGTGCTTGGGCGTGAGCTATAAACATTTCTTCCGCTTTGTTAGCGTCCAATCCTCGTCTCTCGCGATGTGCCTGGTGAAGCTGGACCCTCAGAGCATCCGCTCCTCCGGGAATCTGGGACTGTTCGTTCTGATCCGGGTTCAGGATTAGTGACTCGGGCACGTAATGCTCCAACAGGAAGTAGTCCCCGCATCCGTGTTCCTGTAAAGTGCAGAGGAACTTGTAAATTACCAGTAGCGATATATACGTATATAGACGCACACGTAACGGCTCAAACTTGAGCGTTTACTGATGAGTCGATTATTGACACAGTAGTCATAGGTACCGGGCCGATAGATGCGTGAGATTCCACTAGCCAGTAATTGGCCCCAAACTGAGACGGCGAGAATTCTCAAGGGGAATCTCTGATACCACAATCAGTACCAGTCAAGTACTCACGTTTATGCTGTAATTCCCAAATTCGGCCTGCAGTGCCAGTCCAGTTAAATTGATGAGCTGAGGTAGCGGACAGATCAGCTGCTGCTCGAGAATACAACGGCGTATTTGCAGATAAAGTAAATGCTTGGAGATCCAGCTTCTGTTGATAGCCAAAAATTGAAAAAAAGAATATATATATATATATATAATCCTCAATGTATATATATATATATATATATATATATATATATATATCTAATCCTCAATGTATTGCGTAACGAATGAATCAATCTGGAAAATAATAAAGGTACGTACCTTATACCGCGTAACGAGGGCAGGAAAAATCGTAGCCGCAAGTAGAGCATAAAGCTAGTAGGAAGTCCCAGAAGACCTTTATTCTTGCCGTTGTTCAACCAGCCCGGGGGCGCAACCTTATTCAATTTCGTATCTGGAGGCAGCATCGCAAAGTCTCCAGCAAGAAGCGCCGCTAATCCCAAGGTAAAGTTTTCATCGAGACCCTCAGCTTGAACAATCGCCTAAAATGAGGTTCGCCATGTTTTTAAAGCCATAATGAATCCAGGGTCCCGCTACTGTCTCTCTCTCTCTCTCTCTCTCTCTCTCTCTCTCTCTCTCTCTCTCTCTCTCTCTCTCTTTCTCTTATTACATCGCGCCAATTTTTTTTCTACTTCTCATCCCTTATAGGATGTAATCTACGGTAAAGCGTTTTTGAAATGTCCTTAGTTCTCTGCATTTCGCTCGAGTGTAAATTTCTACCTGCGAAAAAATGTTTACCTAATCAGGAGATATTTTCAGAAATGGAACTCATTTTGTTACCTCCACTCTTTTTCTTTTTTTTTTCTTTTTTTTTTTTCTTTCTACCTACTCTCGGATACGTCGTACTGTACTTTCCTTCGGTTCTTGTAATTTTCAGTCTTACGCGAATACCTCGTGGTTATACCAGTGTTCGCACGGATGGTCGCGAAGCTCAGGTCAAAGGTCGTTATAGTTGTTGGTTTCGTGATGAAAGTTTGCGAATTCTACGCTCGTCGAGGTAGAAGCGTGGATTTATGAGGTAACGTGGGAAGCGAGAACGTAGGGCGAGTCGTAAAGCATTTCGTAAAATATACAAACTTCTACTTGTAGGATGTCACGGATCTTGTAGAGCGAACGGGATGGGTTTATATATATATATATATATATATAATATATATTTTTTTTCAAATTATATTATTTCTTATTTTTTTTAACAAGGCATGTCAGACTATTTCGCTTGGAGGGATCATTTTGTATGATACAATATGCTGAATTTGGGAATGGTGTCGTTTACCTTGTTACTGAGAAGAAATTTGATAATTGTATACATATATGTATATACCTCAGGCGAAGAGAAAGGGGGGAAGTTGTAATAATTGAGATAAAAGCGGAAAGCTGAGAAGACTTCTTAAGAATTTACATGTAGACTAAAAATGTATTTTCTTTGTCTTTTTACATTTATGCTTGAGAATAAAAAATAATCATGCGATTCCCATGTAAACGATTCAAGGGATAAACCGAGTGTATTTCAAGCTGAGATGCTTTTTGAAAAAAATGAATTTAAAAAAAAATTTTTTTTTCTAAGTCAACAAATTACACGATTTCGCAACGAAAGTTATTTGTCAAAAAAAAAAGTAAGATTAACAACCTCTAAGTAATGGGTATCGGTTCGAAGTTTTTAATGGCTGCTCCACCTTATTGAGACCAGATCAAAAAGAAACTAATCGATCAAAAAGAAACTAATCTCCTGCAAGTTTTGAAAAAAGGATGAAAAAATTATAAAAAAAATTTAAAGCGGCAGACGAACTTTTGCGCGTGTCTCATTAAAGTGCATCCGCACCCTTGCGACTACCAAAGCGGATTGAGCGTCTCTCATCCGTGAAAGCATCGACGTTGGATGCTGCTGTACATACATATTCTATATCCCTACCTAATCTATGCAGATATTTCGTTATTTCCCAAATTTCACGCAAACAACGATCGGCTCGTGGCAGTGGTCCAAGTTTTGTCTTTTAAATTATAATTTATAGCAAAATTTTTGTAGGCGTAAACAAGTACGTCTTACGACTCGAAAACGCACATGTCTCGTGGAAAATAAATCGTGGATGTCCTTGTTAAGACGTAGACAATTTTTGAGGCGTATAAAAATTTCCGAAGCGATTTGAAAAACTGACGATTACCGAATGGATGACGTAGGAAGGCATTTTTTTTTCTTTCAACAATTATAACAGTCCGGGTTAAATCCGGGCTGAATTTATCAGACTCGACCAGTCAGTCAGACTATAAAGGTGACTTTGCCATAGTTCATGGAATGAATCGCACTCTTGATTGGGTTTCATTTTTTTTTCTCTATCTCTCTCGTTGCACTCGAGTTATCATAGACGATGATATGCAGTGATCGCCTCGGTATGAATAAAAACTTTTTTATTGTTCCGTTATATGAGGCCGATAATAATACCTGGTAGATAGAAATAAAAATTGAGATGTGGATCAATCAATTTTTTAAAAATGATACCGAATTTATTGTAAATAAAAATTTTAATGACGATCATAGACAATTTTTTTTTTAAACTCGAGTAGGTGCGTACTTACCTGAAATAATTCGCCGGCTGTGACTCTTTGAGAATCGCAAGTCACTTCTAGTCGTTGACCGGTCAATAGTATCACTATAATTCGGCCTACGTTTCCAGTCTGAAACATATTCTTTCGTGGGTCATTTTTACTGGATGGAGTCTTGGGGTTGTTTATAATAAAAAAATTGTCAGAAGTGGGATTCGAACCCACGCCCACAGAAGTGGACTGCGACCTGAACGCAGCGCCTTAGACCGCTCGGCCATCCTGACTTGTTATTGGTCAGTCGCGTTATGGCAGTCAGCGAGCTAACTCAGGAAAGTTCCATTTTATTATGCAACTGTCACCAAATAGTAAAGCGGCACCATTAACCCGTATGAAACATATGCTGAATCAAACTGTAAGATGGGAGAAGATAAAGAAGAAACTTATTTTCCAATGTAAAAGATGTCAAAGAATTGGACATGCAAGTAAAAATTAGAAGGCAATATTTTGCCCAGTGAATTAAGATTCACCAAACGCGTTGAAATGTATAAACTGCGGCAGCCCGGATCATCCAGCGTCATATGGAGGATGCCCATATCTAATGATGGCTACAAGAAACAAGCGAGGGAAATCAGAAATTTCCTCAGAACTGAAAACATGAAGCGAGTGGACAAACTAGCCAGCCCCAATACTACATATGGGCAGAGCATGGTACAGAATAGAGAAAATTGCCCACCTCTACCTTCAAGAAGAAACGAAGAGGGTCATAAGGGAATAATTCAAGAATCCAATGAGACAATATTAAACCCTAATATGAACTTTCATAATAATAACAACACATATAGTCACAACAACAATAAAAATCCTGACAATAATTTATCTCAAATTGAAGAATTAATGAATAAATTTAAAGCCAGTATTATGGATGTACTAAAAACTCAAATAGCTACTATGGATCAAAAAATTACTGAAAACTCCAAGAAGATTGAGTTCCTGCTGTCACAATTTAACTTTTAATAATGGCCGCACCGCAGTCATGTCCAGAACAATGATCTATAGAGTACTTGCAAGACTCCTTAAATAAAACAAAAATTTTGTGCAATTAATGTATACCCGTTAGCAGCCGACAAACGAAGATATGAATTGCAGGAATTCGTATACAAAAATGATATTGATTTTGCGCTATTTAAAAAATAATTCAATCTATAACTGCTTAGGCAAAGAGAAGTAAAATGATCTCACTAACATAAAAGGTCATAAGCTAACATAGTGTCTTATGCTTGTTAAATACAAATGTAAATAGATTAGAATTCCCAGTACACATCCTGCTCCTTATCCACCTCCTTCCCACTACCAATCCTTTATGTTAAAACTAACAGATACAATGATTTTTTTACAATTATTTTTTACCATAGTTTTAGATATAAAGAGTTAGTACTAAAGTCAAAGAATATAACGGTAATAAAAAATTTAAAATAGTAATAAAGGATTTTTGGCGAGACGCATCTAAAATGGTGACAAACCAATATATATACATACATCAATAGATTAAGTTATTCTAAGGAAGATTATTACTTATGTATGTAAAATGACAAGAATGTAAATAAACCACCTTTTTAAAACAAAAGGAAAACTTATTATTGTTCGTTTTGTGAGACTTTTGAGCGATCTCCGTTAATTTAAAATAATTAAAAGAATTAATCTTCTCGATTTTGACACCATGAAACTGTGTATTGCGTGACTAGGTACCTATCCAGACAATGTGATTGAGTAAATATGTAATTACTACCAGGTGTTCACAAAGTAATTTACAGCGACACTATACATTTTTAATGATTCTGATGAAGGAATGCAAAATGGTCGGAATGTTTGCTTTTTAGCACGCATTGGAAATTGATTTATCTTTGTCGTCGGTTAATTGAAATTTTGATTGACGACTGGCGTAAAGGGACATTCAACGAATCGGAAGCTCCAAACAGAAATTATTACGTAGCCAGACATACTTTTTAATTAATTTGTAGTCTCATAGTTACCGCAGCGTTACAATATCGCGAGCTACAAGTGCGGGAAACCCATCGAATTGGATGTGTAATAATGTATTTTATGGGTGAAGTGACGTGATACGGTCAAGGATGAGAAAATTGGAAAAAGAATTTTTCGTCAAAACTGAAACACGAATTGATTTATGCAGAATTAATAGCGTCTTACATCGCTAAGCCCTTTCAATATTGTTAATTATAAAAATTAATAATAATTAGAAACAAAATAAAGCAATGAGTTGTTATTTGCTCTGGATGTTGATAATATTATATATTATGTAATTTTTATAACTCGTTCACATTTATATGCGACATACGAAACAACTTTAATATCCAAATCCGGTATGGTCTAGTGGCTAGGATATCTGGCTTTCACCCAGGAGGCTCGGGTTCGATTCCCGGTACCGGAATATTTTTTTCTTTTCTTTTTTTTTCTACATTTACAAAGTACCTTCACACGCAATACCAGTAAACTCTCTACAAAGCAATTCCTTTATATTATCACATTTTATCACGTATTTTTCTTGTACGTACAATATTCATAGGACTTGTGGCTTAGAATAGAACTGCTTTAATGTCGACGACCATTGGATCTGGTGAGTATTTTATTCCAGACTTTCCCGCGATAGAGGGTGAACATGGTCTGATGAAAATTCATGAAAGGTCCGGAGCAAGAAGGCTGAAGTCAAAGAAATATCTCCCGCATTGTGCGGCTATCACTGTTTCTTTATACCCATTTCAGATTTACGTTCCCGTAAATACTGCCATCCCATTTTCCAGATAACACTCGACAAAAATCTCGAATGTCTTGAAAAATCGTCTGTTGATCTCCCTTACATCATTAGCATCGATTATTATTGAAAGATAAAGGCGAAATAATAAAATTACTAAAAGAGGGGGGAAAAAAAAAAAAATATTTCCAATACCTTTATGTCTCCAACGCTCAATTGTTTTGCCGGTTGATTGGCGCGAACTACGAATTCCGGACCGACGCATTGCGTTTTGTTAAAACAGCGCATCGGACCACCGATTGCTCTGTAGAGCCTCGAAGGTGCACGCTGTACGGCTTTCCCTCTGCGGGCTCTTGGTCCATTTTTAATTGCACTCCTATAACGAAGAAAGATAAAGAAAATACAAATTAGTAATCGACTGTATTGCTTAGAGCGAGAAATAATTTACGTATCTATTTCGTGCTGCACTTCGAAGCTATTCAATTCGTATCCACGTGCACACGTGTCACGTTACTGTCTTTTTTAATACGCTCGCAACTCATCAGGAGTAAACGTTTGAAAGAGACAAATAAAGCGTGGCTTTGTAATTGTTTTTGAACTGCATCCGATACATTTATAGTGTTAATAAAAAAAAAATTCATTTTTATACCTTAAAACTGTAGTCTTAATTTTCATACTTGCACCGACCTAGTACGACTTAAGAATCACCTTAAGGAAAAGTGCAACTTTCTGGCTACATATATTGCTATTGGTATTACCACGTTAACGAAGCACTTCAGAATTTAATTAAACCAAAGTGGTATAAGTTTCAAGCGCAAGAGTTAATTTGCCCCTATCCAGACTTCAATGTGAATCGATAAAAGAATGAGAATTAATAATCAAAAACTTTTAAACAAAACAGCTCGGATTTCGCATTTAAGCTACACACACGGTACGGACGGAAGATTTCGTATATCAATATAACTACTTGATTAGTAAAATATGAAAATTATCATCGGATACTACTAATGTATAAAAATAGGAAATAATTGAAAAGTTTTGATATAATCTCTATACCTTGGTGGTTTCACAGGTGGACCCGAGGACTCAAGGTCGGGCGTAGAAACGGGCGCTGTCCTCTTAAGGGTGGTTATGATTCTGGGTGGTTTCGGCGGAACAACCCCAAGACTTGGAAGTTTGACGGAAGACGGTGGATTCTGTTGCCGATTCGTGCTCGCCGAATAAACGTGCAATTGGGTCGAGGCGACGTTCGGCTGAGACGAGTGTCGAAGATTCCCATCCTGATTGCGACTTGGGATTTGAGGATTGGAGTACTGCCTCCGATGCAAGGACTTGACAGCTAAATTTTTCATTGTCTTTGGGTAAGCATCGTCCTTGCAGCGATTGGCAATATTGGGCAATTGCGTTAGGTGCGTTAGGTGCGTTATGTTCGGCTGTGAGGATCCGCCTTTCCCAGTGTTATTAATTCTAGAACGTGGCGCATAGGTATCCGTCCGTTGAATCTGCTTGGCTGACATTCCGTTTACGCGGACATCCTGCGAGCTGAGGAATGGCTTAACCGGAAGCGCATATATGGGATCGCTGTAAATATTTCCGGTATTCTCGGCCTTCTGGCCAGCTGCGACCATAAGGAGATTGTTGCTGCTTCTCGTGTGCTGAAGTCCAACGCCGCTACCGCCATCGCCATCATGACCGCCGTATTCCGGCTGGGAACTCGTCCTTGCATGATGCACTCCGGAAGGCCCCTGGATCGTTTGAATATTCAGTTGAGATTGGAATTCCGGCTTGGACTCTCCGAGAGATCTCTCACCTCCCGAGAGGCTGAGCAAGTTTGGATGAGACCTCGAGTTCCTGGACTGAGCTTTGAACAGCGCGCCCTTCGCTTGATACTTCGACATGTGGATCGCGGATGACTGATGCTGCTGCTGCTGATTATCCTGGGACTGATTGCTCGTCGGTTGATGACGTTGTTGCTGTTGATGGTGCTGCTGCTGGGACAGCACGGCTGGCTGCTGAGGCTGCTGAAACACGGCGACAGCGGCGGCTCGTTTACGTGCTGCGTACTGGGCGGAGCGCGTTACTTCGCGATGCATGTCCATTACTATGTGCGTGAAGGGTTTCGATTGGAGACGCGTTCGACAGTACTCGGAGATCACCTGAGAAAATAAAGATTACATTTTACCAAATACTTTTTTATTACCGTTATCATTGATTGAGAGGACAATAATTTTGCTCTCCTTCTAAGAGAATTTTTTCAAGGATTTTTTCAAGGATCATCGACTGAACTGTTGGTTCCAAGGGGCAATGACCCCTCGGTATATGTTACTCGATTGTTGGATATACCAATTTCCACTGTGTGTACTGTGGTATTGGAGCTTTCTAGGTCCCTTATCGGTTGATAAGGAATGGGTGTTTATGTACGAAGAAAGAAAATCGTTAATTTAATACGATACAATATACAGCATAGTCGAAAGTTAATGGTGATGCTATTATAATGGGGATTTCTCTTATGAGCTTAATGAAGGTTAATGAAAATCTCTTTGGCGATTAATTAATGCTACTTCATTAATTCCTACGTTTGATAACCTCTGTTAAATTAATGTAATGACAATTGAGGACCTTTAATCGACCAGAGATTTCTCGTCGAGGGCAGGGCTGAAGAATTTGCAGCTGACAGAAATCCCGAAAAACCTAGTGACTTTACGTTTGCCCGATATTTAGCCGGGTAAGGTGTTCGACCGCGCAATTTCCCCAGAATTTGCTGTAATTGAATGCGAGTAATGAGGGCCATTAACATGGGCGCTGCCGGCTCGTTGCTTTTTTGGCGGGATTCGTGGGATTCGTGTTTGCCGACGTGAGCGACAAATAAATTGCCCGATTTGTCAGTCCGTTCGATCCGAACGAGAGGAACGTCCGAAATAGATCGGTCATTTTCGTCATAACTCTTGCGCAAACCTTTTCGATTTCTCGAATAAGAGATAATACATTTATTATAAAACTTTCATATAATTCTTTAAAATAATTCAATTTCTCGTACAATCTGTCAGTCAGTATTATTTACGCAGATAAAATTGATAATTCGAATTAATATTATCAAAAATATTAATTACGCTAACTAATCGATTAGCCTCATGACGCATTAATTACATATATTACAAAAGTCCAAAATAGTAAATATACGATAATGAACATTGAAAATGAAAACGTTGACCCTAACATTCAAGTGAATCGATCACTGACTCAGCGCCTAATTAAAATCATCGTCGGCGACGGGTATATAATTATCCATAAGTTCGAACAGCGAAAGCATTTAATTATACCAAATAAATAAATATATATATATATATATATATCACGAGTTAGTTCATAAATCCCACATATACGCAACACCCGTTACTATAAGTACACCCAAAAACTTTAACACAAATTACAAGGAAACTTTGACAACTTAATCCATTGACAGTCGTGATTCCATAAACATTGACACCTAAAGCCATTAAGTTATTCTTATAGCTAATATATTCCCATGGCTTAAACTAAACTTCAATAAGCCTCATGTTGGACCAGACTGTACGATCGAATATGATATAGTATACCGAATGATTGAATAAAAAATATTCCACTCGGTTTTGACAGCTGTCACCTGACTATTACTTGTCTGCCAATTTCTTTGACAATGTCACACAGTCAATAGTCAAACCACATTTTTTGTCAACTGCCATACCGACTATTTACTCGTATGGTAAATCAACCCGTAGCGTCAACAGCATAAGTCATGCGAGCTTATACCTACAACATATATATAATGGCATAGATTATGGGAGCACCACGAAGGACATTGGCCGCAGGATATGCGCGTTCTCGTTATTGATGACGAAGAGCTATCAAATAAGGAGAGTGATCCTTACTGTGGCTGGCAGCGTTCGTCAACGTCAACGCACCCTTTTCGAAATTTTTCACCCTTAGCGTTACCGGCACGGATTTCCATTCGTTACTTCTCAGTTCGAGAAGAGCTTCAAGAATTACATGTTGGGTCACTCGTTACATCACAATTTTATATATAATTATATTAATGGAGTTCAGTACTTCCTGTGAAGTTCATCAAGTATCTGAATAATCTGCCCCTTGAGAAACTGTCAAAGCTACCCTCTGACGATCCTGTTGCGTTATTCTGAGTCGTCGCGAGTCCTTCTGCACGAGTGCCAAAATAAAAAAAAAAACCGAGATCAAGTACTCGACTCCCCGTATCTCGCGGTAAAGGATACGACGTCATTTTAAGCTTTTCATCGATGAAAAAGAACGAATGGGTCTCTCTGGACCACGATGGCAGATACGCTCTTCCGAAGGATGATTGATACGAGCCACACCCAAGAGACACGGTCCTTTCCGAATTTAATATTTCATTCAAAAGTGTACGTGGTATGGCACTTTGAAAAAAAAAGAAAATAAAAATACCTAAGTATCTTCGCGTTAGGTGATCTGATCCACGTAAAATATCTATTTTACATTCACTAAGATAAAACATAAAAGTGAATAGACAAAGTCGATTCGCGACTTGTAAGAGCTTTGACATAACCTTACATTTTTTCTTAATTCTCGAGTATCAAAGTCAAAGACAGCAAAAGTCAATGCCATTGGCATTCCCACTGCTGATCTTTTGAAGTCAACATGCTCCCTAGACATCCTTTTCATTATTGGCAACCCATGGATCATAAAGGTCTCCAGGAAGGTTGGTATCTCTCATCGCTTTAATTCAACCAAACCTAACCTAACTCGACCCAGTCACCCTTAGAAACGGAATTTCTCATCCCTCCTCGTCCTACCGCTGCACAGCCCTCCGCTAGTAACTTACCATACCCGAACTATGAACAGGCATATATATATATATATATATATATATATATATATATATATATATATATATATACATAGTTACATAGAAATTACCAACAACAAAAAATTTAAAAAAAAATTTAATTCCTATCAGTAACCCTGTTGCCAATAAATAATTCCCAACCACGAAATCCATATAAAAATGAAGGCTTTCCACGAACCGACCAAGCTGAAGCGAACCCCTTCCTTCTCCATCCTCTCCCCTTATGTCTGCCTCCTTTGGATGCATCAATAATTTCCCAAGTATCAAACTGCCCAAAGCGCTGAATCATGTCCGACCGAGATTAATGGCCGTTCGGAATTTTCATTATTGAGAAATCGGTTCTGCTCGCCGATTTCGCGTTAAGCATTGGCCCAATAATTCTTTTCATTCGCCGGAAACGTCGCGTTGTAATCGCCGAAGAAAAATGTTCTCGCGATGAACTGGTCCTACGTCGTGTAAGAAAAGTTTGCGCGGAACGTTAATCGTAGTTACCGTTAACGGCGTATAATTGATTGACGCAATCGGAATGACCTTGAACACACGTATAAATCAATTGATGCACTTGCAGCCGAAACGCATCGTTGCACATGCAACTGCAATGTGAACCTTACCTGTCACGAATATATCGAACGGTAAGCGCATCCATATGTCAACATTACGTACATATACGTAAAATTCAGAAAATCTAGTCCTAGCAGTGCGAATGAATTTACTTAACCTTCGACTAATATTTCTCTTTCTTCCTTGTCACTCCCAATCAATTTCGCTGATTGTGGTCGTCGATATAAAGCCAGGCAAAAATAAACAGACAACAACAAATATGAGGAAATGAGCTTGTTTTCTACAGCAAACAGCCCTTCGTTAGATCGATGACAAATAGACTGGGCGAAATCACATTGGACGACAATGGCAAATCCTTGGTTATCGGTATCAGCTGAATATTTGGATTTTCATTGTTTTCCCAATTATTCGATTTCTTCGTGAATAAACAAAAATCTATCGGTACAGTCCCAATATCGAATTCAGGATTACTATCTGTAAATCGCTTTTAATTAATTTCATTTTCATACGTGCATGTCGGAAACATTTTTTTTCCCCTGATTTTCTCTTACCACGACTGTCTACTGCCACTAACCCTTAAGCTCGTTTCACAGATGCAACTCTCCAGCCGTTAAACACCTTCAGGCTTGATATTACTGGAGAGAGCTTTCTCGCGACACATAATTCAATTAAAGCGACCTTCCACGTCCGCGCCAGTAGTGCTCGAGGGCTCTGTGTGCTCCCGTTAAGTTCATCATGGTCCCCATTCATGACACCAGCATGAGACCCGTGCATCACCCTCTGCCCCAGCGAACGCGTCGAGCAACATAAATAACGTGGGCATCGTGAGGTGACGAGGCGAAGCTATTGAAGCTTAGAAAAGAGATTCGCGTATCCACAGCTCTTTTTGTCAGCTTTAGTCTTGTCGGGGAGGTATAGTCAAGCAGGAAAGTTCATCACGTGGAAATGAAAGTTTACGGCACCTCCCGTACACAGGATTGGCCGTTTGCACTGTTGGGTATCAGGATAGAGCCACCAGGAGTGTCGTAAAGTTTATCAGGAATCGGTTCCGAATGACGTCCATAGAGAAAGTCCAGCATTCGCAGCATCTTGGTATCAAAGATATATATCGAGCAATGGGCAATACTTAAAGTTAGTGGCAGCAGCTCCATTCCGTTGATCGGTACCAGGTGTATTTTTGAGAAATAAAATAAAACTGAGCCTCCTAAATATCATTAAGGAATTTCATCGTCGCTTGGTTCTAGAAACGTTGGAAGGTGAAAGGTCATAGGGTAAATTCTATTATTAGATCTGAATGGCACTCGGGAGCCTAGGAGGGTCGATCATCCTATTTGCTTTCATTAGAGGACCATTATAGACGTCCATTGTAATGATGATTACAGAGTTTTTTCTGTTTTTTTTCTTCTTCTTCTTTTCTCACCTTTGACAAACGACATTTTACACGAGTTCGTACGTCCAAATATTTTTGGCGGAAAATTCAAAAAATTCTTATCGACCTTTCTACGAGTAAAGGTTAAGGGTTGGTTTATGTGTGGCTTGCCGCGAAAAGATAGTCCAGGTTTCTTCTTAACTTCACTGTTTGTCTTCCTCGGCCAAAGAAGGATAGTAACTGTACGGTACGATAAATCCACTGCTTGTCCTAGGTTCGCTTCTTCCAGATGGACTATGCGGCTCTTTCCTCGAGTTTATTCTAGCCGCGAGGACTTCAGGCCGAGGAAACAAGCGCTTCGGGACACAGTTCGGTACACTTGGGAAACTACGAGGTTTCGTGGAATCCCAAAGAAAAGTCTTGTCGCTGGTATTACTATTTCCCGACGAAAGTTCACCGTACTATCTTTCCTTTATACTTCTTATATACAATCTTACTTGGTATAAGAACGAAGTCGGGTAATCAATTTTTATGTCAAATTTTCATCAGCCCACAATGGTACCTTGTACCGGGGACGACTCGCCAATCCTTCCTATTATAAGTAAATTGGCTTATTATTCAGCGCGTTCTGCCAGCTTCTCTCGACAAACAATTGCAGTCAGATGCAGCATCGTGTTCTCTTGCTGTACAACGTTCGCCGTGTCGAATTAACCTGTATTCGCCGAGCGAGTGTTCCTCGCTAACTGAATCGACTGTGCAATTTACTATTAAGCACGAGGAAGACTCTTGGTTAAAATTGACTGGTAGGATAAGCGAGACAATTCGTGCCAGAAAATATCCTAAACCAATTAAAAACGAGCCTAGTTGACGTTCCGGATGCTTTGTCTAGTTCCTATTAGCCCTGTTCGCATATACTGATAACCGTGACGTCAGAACTCGGAACGCAAGCGGTATAGAAAGAAAATTTTTATATCTTCCTTTCACGTTACCGGCAATATATGAACCGGGATATTAGGTGTGGACGAAGCTTTAAAAGTTATCAAAATTTTCTACCTGGCCAGCCATTCGTCCGTTAGATTTTATCGAGCGCTTCCGCGCATCCCGCAGCACGTGGCACGGTTTCTGCGGTATAGCGGAAACAGATATTACACGGGCTTTTGACGTTTCAATTTTCCTATTGGAACCGCTTGAGTAATGACGAAGTGATAGATGAGGGTTTGGCACGCGTGGCTGATCGCGTGCACACCCCCTATGTAACACAACCCGCACCCTAAAATCCCGAACATCGGATAAAGCTTTGTACCCCTTTTTCGTATTTTTTGGATTGATCCGCTGCTTCCTGGGGGTGGCAAAGGAAGCGAGTACAGACATGGCCGATCTGTTCGACGTGATGAACGGCACTTTTATCTATCAGGGGTTCCTTCGATTCGGACTATTGGGAATCGGTAATGGGAACTTCTACCCCTCTTTTGCCTTGGAAAGCCATTCCACCATTATGGGTTACGCTGGTGGCTGATTTTTATAGGACTTTGTGTTACCCGAGTCAAATTAACAGGGTGTGTCTCTATGAGCAATTTTCAACTTTTTTCTCTTATAGAGCCAAAAAAAATAAATTTTTTTCAACGGGCTGCAACCAACTCCGTTCACGATGGATTTTATCAACGGACTGGGCAAACTTAGAGAAAAACATATACGAAAAATTTATCCTGCAAGTTTCTTGATAGTAACTGACAAACGTATGCGATATGATATATGACATGGACGACGACTGTTCGAAAAAGCATGCAATGGTAATATGGCGAACCTGGCGAAGTGCTGAATTATTGTAGAATTTGGAGGTTGTCATTTTTTAAAAAATTCTTTCCCTTTTTCATATTCGAATTCGACGTGCATTTTCGAGCATAGGGATGAAGACTGAAGTATATTATAGAAGAATAATGTTAATAAAAAAAAAATTAAAGTCAACCTCAACATAGAGTCCCATTTGATTATCATGGTGAGAAAGGTTGTGTTTGGGTAAGAAATGTTACTCTGTCAATTTGAAAATAAATATGTACAATCGAGTAAACTTACGTCAAGCAAATTCATGAGGGACGCACGACGATGAGGATCCGGCTCGGTCATGGCTGCCAATACTGATTGAAGTGCCGACGAGGGTGAAACAGATACCGTTCCTGTTAAAGCTGCAACTCGAGGTGTCGTGTCCAGCAGGGCTCGTCCCAGTGAGTACATCCACATCTATGAAAATAAAAACCATAGATATACAATGGTTCAGTGATTTCATGAGAACTCCGTATAGACACAAAGAGAAAAAAAAATTGGAGACTCAACGACGGAACGACGTAGAATTTGCGAGAGACAAGAAATGCAAAGAAAGGTCGTGAAAGTGAAGAAGAGGGATGTTTGAAGAAGGTAGAACAAACATGCCGCACGGCAAAGTCCACCTCCCCCACCCGTAGCTGCTGGATTTCCCGTGGGCGTCGCGACGCCGACGTAAGCGCATCGGCAGATTTTACAAAGGATCACAGAGGTTGTCTCGAAATAAGAAAGGACGTGAAGGAGAAAAAGAGAGTAAATAATGGAAATGGAAAATTCTTGGAATTTAAACTACACGAGGCAAAGGAGTGACGGAGAAGGGTACGGATGAACTACCAGGGACAATAGGAGCAAACGGGCAAGAGTCTTTGAAATAACGTGGCGCCCAGCAGGTAGTGTCGCGTAGCGTCACTGTAGGAAGTGCCAGGTGATGCTGTTATAGGGGAGATACAACGTAATGAGTAAGTGCCCAGCACAAAGCCCGGCAAAGTGGCCGATCCTTTTATAAGTGGTAATCACTGTGGACAGAGTCTGGAATGTATCGTGTGAAGTAGAGCCATTAAAAAGAAAAACCCGAGTCTTCCATACTGTAACGAAGAAGTGAAGAGAGATAAAAAAGCGAAGTAGACGAGTCCGCTGGTATGTAGTAGTAGGTATAAATATCTAGATACTGCATCCACAGGATGTAATGCTTGCACTGGCCATTCGATATGGCACCGTTCTTTATATAGTGAAAATCAGCCTAGGCTGTGTTACGTATATAGATATACAGGTGTATAGTACAGATATACTTGTATATAGATATACAAGTTTCGAATTTACGATGTTTTGTACAAGCACTGGACGAATCGTTTGACATTTTACATGGTACTTGTTTGTATTACTTCGACGTGCTGAATTGTAGCACGGATTTATAACTGAACTGACGCTTGACCGTTAAGATTTTTGTACTCTTCGTTAAAGTTCAAGAAAAAAAGGAAACAACGTCAACTGCTTTTTTTAAGATATTAGAAACGGTCGAGGGTGAACAAAAGAGGGGTAAAAGAAGAATGAAAAAAAAAATAGAAAAAAAAGGAAGCTCAAACTCGAAACGTATTTCTCGGACGGCCAGTAATCGGAAATGGTTTAAAGAGGAGCTTGAAGGGACGACAGAAGGAAAACCGAGTCTATTTATTCGGGCGGGCTTTCATTGGCTGTTTAATCCGAAAGAGCGACGCAATTTCGAATATATGGAAACGGCGATGCCAAAACGAAAGGAGGGCTGTGTTATCTGGCGAAGTAAAATCTTTCCGGGTTACTTTTGAACCCTTGGGTAACGCATTGGATACACGTGTCAACGGAGGTTTTTGGGGGTTCAGTGAAATTCTAAGGGGGGTACACTTTTTCATCAAATTTTTCATTCGGATTTTAAGCTTTTGATAATTTTATTAATTATTAATTCAAATTGTTACTGCATGAGTTCGACCATGCGTTGTACTGCCAACTCGTGCGTTACTGGTTCGTATATGAAAATATTGAAATTACCCATAAACGTCGTACGGGTAAGGTACTATTTTCATAGGTTATATAATACGAACACGAGCTACAGGGAACTATATGAATTTTCTATATCGTAGAGTCACCTTTTCGGAATCCGTATCCGAGTAGATTCGTCCGGGACGATATTCCGGGGGTAGATAAGCCCGTGCTGTTTCCGGTGGTGCGAGCTGTAGAGTCACCCTACCACGTGCAGTCAGTTCGAGAGTATGAGGAGTCACCACCGGACCCATTCTGGAGCCACCTACGACTCCGCCATCTGTAAAAAAATGTAATTTTGTATTTATGAAATTTAAAAAAAAAATTGACATCTACATACTACTCGAGACAATTATCGTTTGACAATGAAAAAAAATATAAGTAGTATTAAAAAAAAAAAATAATTGAAAACGTAAATCGTCGATCGATCATGTCAATTCTTTTTCCAACCCCCAATTCATTCCTCTCGGATTCGATCGACAATAAGCTACCAACCCTCCTGTAAAATAATACAAACCAGTTCTCCTTTCTTTTCTTTTCGAATAGCTTTTACGTGCCCACTCGCGTCACTTATGTCGCACCGTACACGCCATAACCAGTTGGAACCACTTTAGGATATTTTTTCACCAGCAAATGTCGTTTCAACGCGTTTCTCTATCTCGACACTCACGAGTGACGCGGATGGGTGCTCCGTTTACCATTGTCTGAATTCCATCGAAACTAAAGGTGACACGTTGCAAAGTAGATTTTACGATTTTCATGGTTACCAACGATCGTGCCTAAAAGCACTGGGTACTGGGTGTGTACGAGGAGCAAATATCTAAGTACAGTGATAGAATAAAAAAATTTTCAATTTCGTATGAAGCTCTCAACACAATTTTCCTCTAAATAGATCCTTGCACGAGACAGATTAACCATTTGTCAGCCGTTGAAAAAAAACGTAGAAAAAAATAAAAAAGACTAATTCGTCGTATCGAACTTGCACCTTGGTGGATACTGCATTTTTGTATAATTCTCATAACGTTCAGTGACTCTCGGTCCCGTAACAAGAGATTACAGCATCACTGAAATTTTCATGAGTCCAGATTACTACCTCAGTAGTGAACTTTTGTTATGGACCCTTTTCAGAGAGCCTTAGGTAGAAAGCCAAACAGACTGAGGAACAAAGGGATGGTGAGAAAAAAAATACAAAGGCAAACCGGAAATGAAATCGCCCTGAGGATTTGAGGGAAAAAAAAGTAATTACAAATTCTGATTAGATCCCTTCTTCGTGAAGTCTCAACGCACTTTCTTTTATTTCCATAACTATAGAAGGCTTGACGGGTGATTTGAAAAACTTAATATTTTTAAAAAAATGTCAAAATCAAAATTACGAACTTTTGATAGAATAAGGTATACTCAGTGGGGAAGATAAAACATAAATGTGACAAAAATGAAAATTTCTTCTCCAGTCTTTTTATAATCTCGTTCCGTTTCTCGGCTCCTTGAGAAAAAGTGCATTCAGCCGCGGGCACTTGGACGTCGCGACGCTCCTGACGTCTTTAAATTATCCGACCGCGCGCAGCCTCGCTTACGTCTACTGGCTTAAGTAGCGACAAATCACGTACAATAATAAATAATAGGAGATAGCGGGCGGCCTGTAATTGCAGTAAGTAAGCCTGTAATTTGCGAGGAAATCCCTTGCTGTCTGCCGTAACCAGTACGCGCACCTGCGTCACGCGACAGTGCTGCCACCATATTCCAAACTTGTCAGTTAGCTAAGACTTTGAATAATTATAATGGCTTTCCTGCCTCCTTTCAATTGTAGAAATATTTTCTACGCTCACTGTACCTACTACTATGTCTACGTACTGTATTGCAGTAGATTTTAACGAAGAACGTCGTCGCATCTGTCACAGCACTGCAATTTTGTTCGTGCTACTTAAAACTTTGGCTAATAATTCGCATTCGGATATTTTTTTTTTTTCAAGATACACGCATTGTTGCCTAATTAATTAGCCAACTTGAGTACCTTGTATTCAGACTATACATTGCTGGGATTTGATGATCACTGTAATAAAGGGTACGCACGGAATATATATTCCTATGGAAAAAGGGTACCATTCAATTTTCCACTCTGAAAACAGGTTGCTCCCTTGATACAATAACCCTCGGCTACCCTCCGTATCAATTAGCACAACAATTATTCCGCTTGAATTTACGAGCTTGGAACGTGATCTTCATAAAGGATCCTCCACAAGATTACAACATCCATGTTCTCAGTCCTGCATCGCGTGACCGTCCAAAATATATCGACCATCTCCATCCGTGTAGTGTAAAAAATTTCTTAAAATTCGCAGAGTCAAAAATATTAAGAGTCATACACGTAACCCCTTGCAGTACCAATAATGAAACGAGGGTTGAAAACAAAAGGCTCCCCCAGAATGAAGAGCCGCTAGGAAAACATGCATTTGCGAACAAGTGGCAACGTCGTACGACTTTACGAGCCAAGCGTCAGGAGACGGGAAACAGTGAAAGCCGTAGTCAGCCCAAGAGCGTGCCAGTTGGTGGAGGGTGAAAGTATGTAAATGAAAAGGGACAAAATGTTGGCTGGGGGTGACGTCGAAGGGACAGAAGATTTTGTATAATGCTGTTAGAGGATTTAATAAAGTCTGCTCGACGATCATTAATTTAAATAAGTTTAATTTTAATACCGGCATAACCCCCACCTAAGGCCCTACAGCCACGAACCAGCATGACAGTCAGCGGTATAAACGGGAGAGACCTTAGCGAGCTGCCGCCCATCATAAATCCCAGGTAATTTGCCGTTTGAACGTTAACCCCGTGCTCGCTTTGCACGTATTCCCCATAATGGTCGGTAAAACAGTTTGACGCGAGAATTTCGAAGTAAAGCTTCGCCATGTCCAGAATCCTGTACCATGCCCAGACTTAGGACTTTCAAATGAGACGAATCTCTTTTTATCACGCCAACCGTCGTATCTCGCATTAGCTTACAAGAAAATCTTATGCTGTATATACGTACAGTATATATATGTACCAAAAAAAAAAAATATAATACTTATGGTAGGAGGAATCGAAGGCAAAAAAAAAAATAAGACGATGTACATCGAAGCGTTCACTGGAACGTTGTTAGGGGGTGACGTAGGCGTTTTACTGCATCTATCAATGTCCCTTTTTGTTGGCAGTCAGGTTACCCGAGAGGCAGGTAGCAGCCTCGCTAGTAGTCAATCTCCGTAAACGGTCAGACCCGCGTTACGAGTTTCGCTCCGAGTAGTACGTCCCCTCCCCGAGGGTATATCCCCTTGGCAAAGTGTGTTAGTCAGACTTGCCCGTTTGTTTGCATACGAGGATGAGCGAAGGGAGTGGGCCGTATAGCCTAACCTGACAAACAAGCCTGCTTGTCTCTCGCGACGGTGCAAGAACCACTGGAACTAATTACACAGCAATCTGGCGCAGGCCAGGCGCAGTTTCTGGCATGTCACGCAGTGACGCTGCTACGTGCATCCCTTATGGTGTACAGGGATGCAGCGAACTACGGGGTGGTCAGTTTGTTACGGTGACTTGAGGACTTGTGAAGAAGGTATGAGAGTCCTGGTAAGTCGCTTGCGTGTGTTTCCTTTTGTCTGAGACTGTACGAATCGGAAGTGACGTCAAGTCCTGGCTGTATTTATGTCGTAAAATGATCTTGAGAGGGATGATGATTTGAAAGTGTAAAATATGTAAATTTCACCCTTTGTTGTTTTATTTTTTTTTTTATTCTATGCTTTGTATCTTAAGATTGATCGTGCTTCGGGCAACCCTGAAAATTCTTGACGAGACGAAGCGCACGCAGCATCCCTTGTAAGCGTAAAGTTGTGATTGACGTTACGCTCACTAAACGCGAATATGCCTGGGATTACCACGGCAGATATCCCATATAGTTTCCATTGACTTTGGCTCGAATTGAACTCAGGAGGCAAACGCGTATAATGGCTTTGCGGGAATTACTCGTATCGAACGTGAACGCGTCGAGTAGTTTCACCTTTTATTTCAATGCTACGGAAATACGTTCGATTTGACGATGCTGATGGAAAACTTTTCGTAAAGTGCTCGATCGTGTTTCGGATCACCGTTCGCGAAATTCAAGCCAGATCCGCGGTTAGAAGTTACCGAGATAGGACAGGCTGATGTATAGACACGAGGGTATCTATAGATATAGATATTCTGTGTAATTCTAAAGCGCTATCAAGATATAGAGAAATATCAGTGGAAATAGCACGCCCGAGGGACGTAAATATCTGAAATGAAGTATTATCGATTAAAATGAAAGCAGCCATGTAAGAGATTGAAATATTGAAAGTTAGGAATATAGAATTTTTTTTTTCTGTTACAAGTAAACAAAAATTACGATTTCAATATCGTTTATCTATCCCAACCAAATTACGGTGAACAACGTCAGGGTAGATGAAGCATTATTAAATTTTTTTTTTTCGATTGACAGAAGGTACGTCAATCACACTGGCGTCGCGACGCCTAAAGCGTCACTGTGCTCGATTCATTATTCCTGTACACGTCGTGTAAATTAACGTGGAACGTCTATGTATAATAACAATTCGCTAGTCGGGCCGATACGAGGGGTTGAAGTTGGGGTAGGGTGGTTACTTTTTTTTTGGGGGGGGGGATGAAAAGAGGGGGTGGCTGGAAGACCGTCCTCTGGCTGTTACCCTTTTGTAGATCGTTCTCAGGACTGACGTAGAAACATCCCTTGGTATGTAGTATATTGGCGTATGGATATAGGTATAGCAAGGGTCTAATAGTGCGGTTGAGGGTTACTCTCGTTGCGTAGGAGGATGGAGAAAGATGAAGGGGGCGGCTGCCGGACATTGATGGATGGTCGTCTAGCACAGCCTGTTTCAACCCCTTTCGACCTATAGAATTATTCAACCTCGCTGACCACCCCTCGCGCGTTACGGTAATACTCCAGTAATATTGGAAGCGTTTAATTTTAACTAGACGAGAGGGTGAAATTTTAGGCAAATTTATTTTTTTTTCAAAAAAAAAAAAAGGTTGCTTTGTATATTTGAAAAAGTGGAGACTCGGCTTTTTCGAAAAACGGGCTTTCAATGGATATACTTTTTTTTTTAATTTCCATGTTTTTCCTTGAGCTATTTAGAGGGTTGGGAGGAACGAAATGGAACGAAATGGATTGGCAGGTAATGGAAAGGCATCGAATTGCATCAGGATGTCTTCGGTACCTGTTCCTCCGCAGGAAATTCTCTTTCTTTTTTTCATTTATCTCATCGTCCGGTACTATATTGGCCGATTTCCATCTCTGATGAATATTTTGCAGTTGATTTCCAATCATGGGATTGAGGATTCCCAGGGTGCTAATTCCCAGACAGGAAGCTGTATGCGCCGTGCAGTAGCCTGGAGGTGAACATGGTGTCGTGGTGTTTCACTGGGCGTAATACGACAATGGGGAATTCGTAATGAGTCTTTGGAGAATAATCCCTTGAGCAGTAGTAGGATTTTAATAACAGATAAATCGACGTTCTGCGAATCCCTTTGTAATTTAGTCATGCTAACGCGAAGCGCCAATAATTCCATGATTAGCTTGACCATTAATTATCCCTGTTATCAATATCTCGTGCAATTATTATATTCGCTCGCATAGATATTTAAACAAATTTTTTTAATACTATCTGTTTTTTTTTAACATCACACACCTACCTATCCTCGGAATATTTTCATATGAATGTTTGATGTAATATTTTACGGACGGGAAACTTGTGATATGACATTTTTGTTCCGGATGGTTGGTACTATTCGGCAGTGGCATTTCGCCCCTCGGCGTGAGCCAAATGAGTTGTGCCTCGTGATTCGTAGCAGCTCGGATATTTTTGGGGGTTGCAAATATATTCCCTGTAGAAGCTGTCCGCAACGCGAAGTGGGGCAAATTAAAAGTTTGTTCAACTTCTGGCAGGTGGTGTATGACATAATAAGATGAAAGAGCCCAAGTACCTTCTAGATAGAAATAGAAATAAAAAAATTGATTTTTTAACATCGGATAAGCATCGATTAACAAATATCGTATATAACGAGTAGATAAAAATTGAAAATTGAAGAAAAATATTTGAATGCCCAATAAGTCATTCAGTTCATATCTGATTACGTCAAGGGATAAAATCGATTTCAATAGATTAAAAAGAAAGGTAAGAAAATAGAGGTTAAATTTTAATCAGGGTGACGTTACTCAAATAGTATAGGTCCATTTTGTAAATGGTATCGGCTAATTCTATTAGTGAAAGCTATTGTTATTTTATCAGACGCTGTTAAAAGCATCTCCCGATCTCTCTCTTCCTCTCCCTTATCTTTCCCACGCACGAGAGAAGACCCACCTCCCGTCTCTAATCGTTATACCCATTACTTTTACAGCTGGCAAGATTCCAAATCTTTCGTAAGTAGTATTTTACCTCGAGGGTAGATACAGCAGGTACCAAAACTATTACCCAGCTAGAGACATAGATTATAACTATGACGTAGCGTAAAGACTGGTGGCCCAAGTTTTTAATTAAAAGGGTCGATTAAAAGGAAAAACTACCTGACCGACCCTCGAGACACGTTGTAACCCATATGAAAGCAGTATGGGAGACTTTGAAAAAAAAAAAAAAAAAAGAAAAGCCGTGAAAAAGTCAAAAATTTGGATCGTCAAGTCGAGCAAACCAGGAGCTATCCATGGTTGGAATTTTCATTAAATATAAACGCTAGTCGAAAAATAATTAAAATTCCAGAAGAGCCTTCAATTTGCATAACTTTACGCTCTGGTACATCCAAGCTTCACCGAAGCTTTCATCCATTACAAGTTATAAGCTTTTCGTCAGGTTCGCTGCTACTCTACGATATATACGAGTGATTTTCAAATGAAAATACCCGTCGATATTTCTTTCTATCACAATTTGTCAAATCCAACGCACAGCCTTGCATCGACCAATCGTCCCGGTGTATGACCAAAGCATTACGGATGCTTCGTTCGAAGTAGGTAGGGCAAAGCTATGAGCATAAACGCGAGAGCTCATGGCCACTTATTACTTCCCTAATCGTGCGACATTACATTCACGTTACGGGGAACGTGGCGCAGGTGCCCACTTACACGTCCAGCAAAGAAGTCCTCGACTTTGTACTTTTCGTTCGTCACGCCAGTAACGTCCAAGAATGGAGAATCTGGCGAGGGACCGGATGCCGGGCATAGACAGCGGAGGCTGCGAAGCGCGTTAAATGCCAGACGTAGAAGGGAGGAAGCGTCAAGGCTAAGCGCATAAATGCCAAGCATAGGAAGCATAAGCCTCAAGACGTTGATACGAGCCACCGCAAGTCCTTGATTCTCCCCGTGAAAGATTTCGCAACCGGGGTACAATGCAATTTGATTTAGCGAAAAGGGCGAAAAGGACATAAGGAGCGTCGGAATTATGCTGAGGATTATGGGGAGGATTATAGGGATGACGATGGAAAATACCCTTGAATGAGTCTCGAGACGACCGATAAATATATATCGCGCAAACCCCAGACTGTCCTAATATGTCTCAAGGGACGATACCCGCCCTGTATAATGTTGGGTTACGTAGGTGGAGAATCGGTGGAGAATCGGTGGACGCCGCTGAAACGGGAATCAAGATCATTTACGGGCTGGGTGGGAACCTGTCCCTTTTCAAAGAGTGAACGACCGCTCGGTCGGAGTCCTGGGGCTCCGACTGAGCTTCCGTCGTAACGAGCGAATCGAGGGGGCAGGAGAGGGTTTGCGGAACGCGAGAGTGGCTCTCGCGTACCACTGTAAAATCTCCCTGGTTTTACACCCTTTCGTTACCACGTGAACCGAACAAAACGAGTGGCTCGCATGCGAGCGAGAGGGACGAGTACTTGTTTGCAATTGTTTGATCTCCGTGCCCGAAGAGGGGGTGGTTGGGTTAGGTTGGGTTATATTACCGCGACGAACAGTCGTATCGTGGTTGGAGGGTCGAAAAAATGTGTTGTGTACATTTTTCGCGGAATCGTATTTTCTGTTTTTTTTTTTTTTTTTCGATTCACAAGGTACAGAGGTAATTTAGAAATTTCTAGGGAGCCAAAATCTACTTGTGATCTTCATACGTCATCGGCATCCCTGACGCGGCTGAGCAGCTAGGATGAATATTTAAGGATGGTAAAGTGCATTGCCTGTAACGCACTGTTAACGATCAAGACGGATCTGCGCTAGGAAGCAAGTAGATGACTGTAAGCAGAAAGGATTCGAGATATGTGCTGATTCGAGGCGAGACCTTAAGGGATGGTACTTAGGGGTAGTTCCGGGAGAGTAGTAAGTGTCGTAATACGAAAGTCGATTTTGAGTGCACTGCGGCAATCCCGGTGCACCACTGGTGCATCTCAACGTAATTAATGGTCGAGATGGAGGGATAAGGGGTGGAACTGGAAGAGGAGGTGGGATAGGTATAGGTAGGTCAGACTGGTACGTAGATGCATTTAAAGAGGGATGACGACGAAGATCCAGCATCCCAAATTGATATCATAAATTTGACAAAAATGCACCCTGCCATTTTTCAATCCATAAATTATATCATCCCTCGGGACCATTAATTCATTTGTACCATGTGTTTCATCCCTTCATTTGAAATTTACGTCAATTTAAAAATACAAAAATACTTTCCCGTAGGAGCTTACGAAGAGGTGTCAGAGACAACGAGAGCAGACGATCGAAGCTTTTCGCTTTTCCGGAAGGGGGGGGGGGAGGTTTGACGTGGCGGCAGAATGACAGGGTCTTGCCCAGGGACTTGAAATGCAAATAGTTGTAAAGCCTCGATTTTGAGAGACAAGCAAATTCGAAGGGAGCCTCGTGGTCCTTGGGGCACAAGATTTCACAGGAGATGAGTCAAGGTCTGGTAATTCGTTAAGGGCTGTTTTCGCGGAGCTTCAAGTAAATTGAATATTAAGGGACGTTTCGCGGTTCGAAATAACCTCTAGCCCGCTGACCCTGTGTCAACCTCATATGCTGGGATTACCACCTAGTAAGCCTACATGCTATCCCCGGATTTACGTATACGTACACGTGTAACTGTACTAAGCGTACCAAAACCAAATTCTATCCCTTTCTACAGCCGTAGGTGTAGGAACTACTGTGCAGTTACTATACACAATGTACATTACATGCTAACATGGCCTGAGTATGTGCACGTATGTTTACACCACACAAGATGTACCTCTTCCTCTATACACGTGTTACCGACCCCTAGGACTATATTACCACCCTCCGCCCATGCCCGTTACGTTTCCACGTATCTGCCAAAGTCACCGAGATTTTCACGTGTCGCAGCTAAAATTTAAGATTTTATTAAAAAATATTTTTTATCTCTACAGAATTCAAGCGATAACGACGTTCTTATCTCTGATTACGTACTGAAATTATATACAGATAACGATTGTAATCTCGTGCCGAACAGCTGCGTGATTTATTTCAGTGACTATATTTAGAAATATTATAAATATTTCATCAAACAAGACTACCGTGGATGTGGTGGAACAATTTGTAGATATCTATAATTTTATCAATTTATTACGGTCTAGTAGGTAGAATATAACACCCACGGGACACGGGTTCGATCCCAGCTACCGGAATATTTTTTTCATCCTTATTAATTAATATTTCATACTTAGGTAACCGCGTTGCATTCTAAAATTACAATGAAATCACTACTAGGTACAACCTCACACACGCCACGTGGGAGTGTCGTATTTATTAATAGACAATGCAACCTCACTATATATATATATATATATATTGTAACGTGGCGTCCGTGGGACGGCCAGTTACATAAAAGCGTAGGGGCACGGAGAGCCGTGTCGCCAACGAAAGCCGCCAAGAGAATGCCGATGCCGACGAAGATTCGTGGCAAGGGGAAGCCGGGGAAAGAAACCGGCACCGCCGAGCCCGGAAATCGGGCGGACTCGGGTAAGATCGGCGCCGCCCGGAGACTGGCGGGCGGTGAGCGCCGAAAAGCGGATAGCGGACCGAGGCGAGAGATAACGCACGAGTTCGGGTGAACTCGGGATTCTTCGGGAATCCTCGGGCCGGGGGGCAAAAAGGGGCCCACTTCGTTTCGAACCGCGGATCGGGAATACCGAAAATCGGCGGATAAGGTATCGCGATTTTTCTGGTTGGAGTGTGGTGAGAGTGTGTGAGGGTTGCAGGACCTGTTGTGCAACGTGGCTTTTTTCCCGGACGTGATATGGAATGGGATCTATCGACGACGACGGCGCTCCTACGGTACTCGGAGAATAGAGGGTGGAGACGGCCGACGAGGAGGAAAATTGCCAGCCACCACGACCCGAGCGACGAGGAAGAAAGGTACGGTTCACCGGAAGATTCGGTAAGTGTAGTTTAGGCGACCGCCCCGAAGTCATGCAGCCGGCGATGAAGTGCATCCGCCGGTGCATCTTGGCACGAGGAGTGGGGGGCCGCGGGCCTCGCCACGGGTCCTGGCGGTTGCAGATTTGAACCGACCACCGTCAACAGGGATGACCTCCGCGACCGCGTTGTGTATTAGAATTGTATAGAGCCGCGCTCGTATACATCACCCGACTGTACTCGTTTACCTAGGCAAAATAAAGGGCCATTGTTGGAATTAAATGCCACCGTGCTAGTCATTACCAAAGAAGCCGGCTGATTCCTGTAGATACTCGCCGCCCTCACGTTCCCCTCTACCATGACGGGTTAGGAGCTAGCGGGAAGATCCGGTCGAGAAGACTCCCGGAATTGACGTGCCGCGGATTAGAAATTAAAGGCCCGACGAGTCGGGCTGGTGCAAGGATGCACCTGGCGCCCAAGGGATCCGCGGAATGCCACGTTGGGGTCGCGGATAGAACGTAGGCCAGGAAATGCGTTACAATATATATACACATCTTTCAAGTAACTGTCATCTAGAATTAGGTGCATCGTTAACGTCCCCCATTTGCGCCGTGTATAATATACGCATAAACATTTTGATATACGCATTATAATATTTCTGCGGTATGCACTGATTGGCTCATTATTCATCTAGCTGCATTCGCCAGGAAATGCAATAAGGGAAGAATGCGTATTCAATCAAGGCAGCTCAAGCCTGATCGTACGTTATATAATAAAACGTATTTATTGAGTCGTAAAAAAACAGTTTAAAATTCGTACGGATAGAAAAAAAAAATGATTACCTCAATTACGCGACCTTTCGACCTGTAAAGGTCGTTTCATTCGTAATGTCACGGTTAGTTAATTTTACGCGAATTAATAACAAACCCCTCGTGTCACCGAATGAATTCCAACTTGAATTGGGGTGCCTGTCGCTATTCAATGTATCCATGTGTAATCGCGTTTACGTGTCACGAGGTTGTCGGAGTTTCTGAAAGGTTCTTTAGCATGCTGAATATACTGCTCGGATTTCCCGAAGAGGTCACTGGGGTCGGCATACGACAACGGAGGCGTCGACGAGACGATTAACGTTCCTTTGATCGATAACCATCAAGAGCAGCAGTAATGACAGAGGCAGCCAACCTGGTTTCCGATTTCCGTGTAACGCTGATTTCCTTACGTAGTCCGACTTTATTTAACAGCAGTTTCTAATTAGGATGGTGATATCGTGTATGAAGATGTTTATACACGTGTTAAGTTGACGGCCTGGTTTTTATCAAAATTTTCATATCTCTCAAGTTATTTACAGTTTTGTTATTGAAATTCTGGTCGATCAAAGAATAGTTAATGTAAAAAAAAAGAAGTTATGGCAGATTCATGCTCAATTATTTTCTAGATTTTCCTTGATTTGCCGTCGTTACGGGTGACCTTTTTGCCTGGCACATGTGAGAAATTAAATCATTAATGTGTCATCAATCACGCTGACCCGAGGGAGAGTTTCCCGGTGTCATGTGAGGGCAAAAGTCGTTGGGGTGAATGTAGGATTTTTTTAGTAACAGTGCCCGGCCACGTGGAAGTCTTTTTCATCTAGATTCGCAATTTTTGGAATAGTCGGAGAAACGGTGAAAATAAGAGAGAAAGGTGAAAGATGCATAAAAAAACGTAAAAGAAATCCTCCTAGAATATATATATATATATACTGTCTATTACTTTATTCGTACGAAAAATTGCTTTGCACGACTTTTTCGTCTCTTCATAGGGTTTTCAATGATAAATGTTACGTGAGATATAATAAAATTCTTTTGTCTATTATTGGGAAAAAAAAAAAAAAGAAATACTTGTTGGGATGTCTCGGCTGTAACTTCTAGTTCCTTCGGGACATTTCGATCCTTTCAATGATTCTTTTACACGTAATGCTGCTACGGATACGTGCTGGTTTTTTTTGTGGGAAGCCATCCGAACGAGTTGCGAATCCACTTTATATCCTGATAAAAGCCGAGTGGATTTGCGGTTGGATCATTCGCTGGTATTTTATATCATCGAGATAAAGGAGAATCCACATAGTATCGAATGAGAAATATCATTGTGCTACTTCGTTTTCTTGTCTTTCGGAATTTATATACGGTTATAATAATTTTTGACGTTATCAAAATATTGTAACTATATGTACGTGCATAATTCGGACATAATTGTGTATGGAGTAATGGCTAGATACGTGCAAAAAAATTCAGGTTCGATCCCCGGCACCGGACTTTTTTTTTTACTTAAAATTAAATATATATATCAAAACGGCGAATTTACATAAATTTCGAAAGTAATATCGTTACCGATAAGTATGATGAAAATTCAAATTAATCCTAAGGATAAAAATCAAATTTCGATTTGCACGTCACAGTAGAGGTATACGTTGCTTTGGATCGTATCTTGACTTCTCGCTGTATAACATTACCATCGTATCCCAAGGGAGTATTAGAGAGGAAAGCCATACGGGAATGGACAGACATAAATCAATGGCGTGTGGGATATTTATAGCTATACAATCCGATAGCCAGCAGTGAAACATTCGGTTGAATTCGATTCGAGAAGGTTCTCGCTAGATCGTACAGGCAATAGACCAATTGTGCCAATTTCAGCGTCCTGCGAATCTGATGGACTCTGTAGACTGTCGTTATCGAAGGATACGTCATATGCGACCGCTGTCCAAAATATCTCGAAAACCATGAACCCCAAAGAATGTGACAGTCAAAATGAAAAAATAAATTCTCCCTTCCCCCCCCCCCCCAAAAAAAA